CCTGATTGCATCTTCAGTCGGGGCTTGCAGGAAGGGGTGTCCCGGTGCGGTGTGGAGTCGATGGGCATCTCGGCCTGGCTCCTCTCATTGTTTAGCTTAATTGTCCGTGTCCTGCTCTTTCTTTCAGGCTGATGAACGTCGCCTAGGGTCCTTACCACCTGAATGGGTAGTTACTGCTGGGTTTGGGGAAATTCTTAGGCCACACTATATTTTATATAATTTTTACATTGTCACAAATACAGTTATATACTTATTTATTCTTTCACGAATTTTTATCCAAGGTTACATTTATCACAATAGGAATAACAGTTCTTTACTAGTGTTATAAATTTGTATTGTGATATTGGCTTTTGCAGATGAATATTATATATCAAATACTTTTTAGCTATGTATGTACTTTTTTTCTTGCTAACAAGTTTTAAGTTTAAAAGAATTTCCTAGGTACAAGGCAAGGAAACCCCAGAGGGCAAGGACAGTGGGGCCCAAGCTGTTATCAGGAGAACAACAGAGGCCAAACTGTTATCAGCGGAAGATATGAAACCCAGCTGCCTTCAGGGGAAGGATGACGGGCCCGGACTGTTATCTGCCCTGACCATTTGCAAAAAGAAAGGAAACCAAAAACTCCAAAATAATGATGACCAGCAGAAAATAAAATTGTGAAGAGCATGATCCAAGAAGGCGGAACCAGGGAGGGGACATGCTTGAATATGCATTAACCCCTCACAGCAGGAGGGGATAAAAAGGGTATTCCTGAAATACCAGGTGTGTTCCTGGCAAGGCGCCAGGGCACCCGGCCATTTTAACCCTTTGCTTTATTTCTTTTGTCTCCTAATTGTCTTTTTATTTATATTAAATTCTTTTTATAATTTATTAAGTGAATCTCATTTTTAAGACTAGTATAACCAGGCAAACAAACAACAATAACTACAGCATTAACAAGAAAACAGAACCAGGGACCCCGGGACAGCCTTCTCGGCTGAGATGGGATGGAGGAAAGGCTTTCTTTCACAAACCCCCTCGGGCGGGCAGTCCCGGTGCTCCTGCAGGGCTCCGAGGAGCAGTCGGCTGGAAACAGCACGGATGAGCAGAGATCCTGGGCCGGTGGCAGAAGTGTTTCCGCGGCGGTGGCTGGCACTGCCACACATCCCGGCAGGACAGGGGGTGCGAGGCCACCAACCAAGAGGGGAGAAGGAGAAGAAGCAGCAGCTCTGTCTGGGTGATGGCGAAATTCCCTTCTCTCCACCACGTGCCCAAAAATGTCTTTCTCCGAAGCTGAAGGAAGCCCGCCAAACTGTCCCCACCATCCTTTTTCCTGCCCCCCTTCCCCCCCTGGGCCCGGCCACTCTTTGTCTTTTGTCAAGCACCCACTAAATACCCACAGTTAGGTTGTCCCTGCAACTAATGAGTGAAAATTCCACGGGCAAGCCAGAACAAAAAAAAAAAGACACCTAACCCCCAACACCCTGTTCCCCCTTCCTTCAGATGTGACCTCCCCAATCCCAAATCTCCGTTTCCCCCCAGGTCTCCTCTCCCTGTGTTATCTGCACATGGCACTGTCAGAGCCTGGCCTGGGCTTCCTGCAGTCCTTGTCCATGGGGTCCCTGGCTGGGATCCCCTTCCAGCGCCACTGCAGCAAGTGGGGCTGGGTGGAGCCACAGCTGCTGGGCATGGAGGCCGGACCTGAACTGGGTCTTGGGATAGCTAGAGCAGGCACAAGGAGCGGCACCGGCACAGGGCCACCCAGGAGCTGTAGATGCTGCAGCAGTGGCACAGCCAGAGCAGGGCTGAGTGGGGAGAGCTGGGGCTGGGGGATCTGTGGGGCTGCGATGGAAAATGTGGCACCACCATGAGGACCCTTGAGATCCAGGCCAAGGAATTAACAAATTCCCTGGGTCACAGCTGCAGGGAATGTTTCCAGAATTATGTCAGGTATGGGTGGGAGGCACTGGAGTGTAAAGGTGGGGAGGGCAGAATTCCCATGACAATATGGGAATGAGAATGTAGGATTTGGGAGGGCAAATTTTGGGAACATGGGAATTCCCATGGAAATTCCATGGATGGATCTCAGACATCCCATTCCCATGGCACTTCCATGGATGGATCTCACTGTGGTACCATTCCTGTGGGAATTCTGTAGATGGATCTCACTGCCATGCCATTCCCATGAAATTCCATGGGCAGATCTCCCCATACCACTGCCATGGAAGCTCCAACTCCCCAAAGCCATCCTAGGGGTTGCCCTGTTCTTTGCCCTCCTCACCCCCTACAAGACTCCTGAGGGTCCCTTCATGACCCACCCAGGCTCCCCAAACTCATCCTGGGTCCCCCCTCATCCCTTTAGTGCTGGCTAAAATCACCAGATATGGATTAGGAGAAGGGCAAAACAGGCTTAAAACTTAAAAGGAATAAATAAACTTTATTAACAGGACTACAAGGATAAGAAGCATCAGAATAAAACCTCTAGAAACCTTTCCCCCCTCTGCTCAACTTTTTGTTTTCCCAACTGACCATGCAGAGACAAAACCTGGGATGATAAAGAAGTACCAACTATACAATAGAGCACCCATATCCTCTCTAGTAAATCCTAATCTCCCATTTCCAAAGCTTGCTTTTTTTTCTGCCTCCTGAAAGTGTCCCAGGCGCTTCGGATGCACGGTGACCTGGCACGGTGGCAGTGTCCAGAGATGGCTCTGGGGTGATCTCACAGCTTGGCAGTTTCAGTGCTCAGCTGGCAGACTGCTGCCCCACTGTGGGGCGGAGTGCTGGTCGCCAGCTGGATCACTGTCTGTGTCCTGGGGAAGTGGTGTGTGAGGTGATGCACAGGGACCAGAGTAGGGCAGGCTTGCCAGAGATGCAGAGGCGAGGGGAGCAGCAGCTGTGGGCACCACAGATGGTTGCTCTGAAACAGCAGGAGGCATGGTGGCACAGCATCTGCTTTGGGCAGGGGGGAGGAGGCCATGCGGGCTCAGGCACGGGCCCTATAGCTGGAAGCCAAAGGGCTGAGGGGGCAGCACTTCCCACCACGCCATGGTCTGCAGAGGCAGTTGCCCCAGCAATTCTGATGCATGTGCAGGCCCCACAGATGGAACTGGTGGTGATGGGGGGGGGGCGCTGACGGAAAGACCCCTCCCACCGTGCTGGGGGTCTGCTGCGGGGACTGCTGTACTGTCAGCAGTACAGCAGGAGAAAGGGGCGCAGGGGGTGTCGAGGGTGGGGGCAAAGGGAACCATTGGTAGTGCAGGCTCTCCCACGGCCGCTTGAGGTGCTGAGAATGGTGCTGTGGAGGGCGCAAATGGAGGCAGACATTTGCCGCTTTCCCGCCACCCATCTGTTGATGAAGCCCTCTCAAGCAATTCCGTGGGTGATGGATACTTTGGCCTTACAATATCCCCGGGGAAGGATATTTTTGAGGAACATAGTCTCGTGGAGAGAGACTTTTTTCACCCAAGTCCAATGTCCCTTGAGAGTCTGGGCAGAGCTGAGGAAACAATACTTAAATTGTTCCCGGTCCCGTCCTCCAGCCTCTCAGTGTGTATGGAAGAGGCATTTCTGGCATCCAAATCCTCCATCCCCTCATCACCACCCCCAGATGGGCACTGTTGTAATGCTTTAGAGAGCATGCCCCAGGTGGTTGCCAGTGTACACACGCTGGTATCTCCGTTAGTTAACTCGGCCCATATATGGTCTTCCATCAACTGCCAGATATTGAGATTAAAGGCATTGTTGGTGGTTACTGTAAAACCCTGGGCTTTTGCCCACTGGAATAAGGCATGCATGGAATCTTCTGAGACAGTAAGCCCAAAGCATGGAAAAGCATCCTTTCATGCAAAGAGGACGAATTGTTCCTCAGTGGAACTTCAGTTCCCCATTGTAGGAACCTTTTATCCCAATGGCTCACAAGTGCAATATGCAAATGCAGTGGCTTATCCTGGGAATCTAAACTCTAGCTTTGTTGAGATTTACCATTCCAGGCCTGGTCACCAGCTGGGCCCTCTGTCCTGTGGTTGAAGAGACCATTTCCCTCCAGGAGAGCACAGGAGAATTTTTTTACTTACCTCTCTTCAGAGGAGAAACGGGAGGCACGTTTTCAGTCTCAGCTGCAACAAACGTTGGGGTCCACCAGATGTCGCTCTGTATTGGGAACAGCAAAAGTAACGACACGGACTCTCTTCTGAGTTGCACAAGAGAGCAAGTTTTATTATTCCAGATCTTGTTTTATAGACAGGTCTGAGAAGGTCCAGAAAGGTAAAATTCTCATTGGCCATTAAACTAACGCATCACCATCACTGGTCTGTTGTGTACACTACCCCTTGACCTTCTCTTGTAAGAAAACAACAAGGTGACAAACAACACCTGCAAGGTTGTCTTCTATCTCTAAGGACTGATTTGATTCCTCCTTATGATTTCCCAGACCACACTTCTCAGGCCAGTCTGAGAAAGTTCTGTGACTTGGTTTCCCACTGACATTGTGCTCCCTCCTTCCTTTTTTGCATTTAGCATCCATATTAATTAACACCGTAATTAAATCCTTCTCCCCACTCACGATGTGCAAATGAGGCCGGAAGAAGAATTTGCATGGATTTGTCACCCTCCCTTTCCCGCCATTCACAATACTTCCATCAAATTTACTGAATTCGTCAATTTTTAATGTTCAAAAATTGCCAAAAAAACTTGTTTCCCACGGAAAATTCACAGCTCCAAATACGGAGCTGTAGGGAGAGCCAAAATTATTAAAAATGGGAAAATCCCACATAACGAGAGCAGAACAGCGGCTTCGTGAATAAATTAACACAGAATAAATTAACGCGGAGTAGATTAAGGCAGAGTAAAATAATGAGGAATAAATTAGCTCTGAGTAAATTAACAAAACAAGAACTTTTTACAAATTTTTTAGTACAATAATAAAGTTATTTTAAGGATCTGGAGAGGCAGAAAAAGCGAGAAATAATTTATGGATGTGACAAAGTTCCAATTTCCAGTGCAGCACCACTTTTGGGGCTTTAGGTCCATTTCAGGGTGTAGTTCTGACCCAGCTCCAGCTCCAGTTGGGTGATTTTCAGCACCTTTGGGAAAAAAAAAAGCAGCAAAAAATGACTCCCAGGCAGTTCCTGTGGGATTTTACCACAATTGTGAAATTTTTGGTTAATTACGGGAGCTTTTGGTACTTTCTGCTGTGGATTTTACATCATTTATTTATGTTCTTTTACATCATAATTTTATATATTATGTAATATATCATCTATATCACTATGTAATATAGAAAATAGGGCTTAGTATCACATTATGTGGATTTTATAGTTATTAATATATATTATATAACTTTTAGAAATATATATATAAAATTTCTTGATATATAATTTATTTATATATAGTATATCGTATATAGCATATACTGTATACACATTATTTAACATATTGCCCCATAACAGCCATTTTGGATCCATACATTAACATAAATCAACTTTCCACTCATTAATTCCCATTAATTCTCTCCAAGAAAACAAATTTTGCCCAAACCACACCAAGTTTGGGCTCCTCCGGTGCCGCTTTTTTCCCCAAAACCCCAGAGTTTTAGAAACCCCAAACTGCCTGGAATTTACCTGTTTTTGGGGGTCATGGGCCACGGCATGAGGGGACTGGACATCAAGCCCATTGCGTGTCACTGTCACCTCCTGGACGCTCCCAGGGACCCCCAGCACCTTGATTTCTGTGAATTTCAGGGAATTTGGGTCCATGTACCCCCCGTGCAGCACCCGCAGCTCCAGAATGTTCTGGGGAGAAGGAGAAAAAAATCAGGGATTTTCTCAGATTGCTCAGAATTCCCCTTCTTTCCACACCTGTTTGATGGTTGTGATTTTTTTCTTTTTTTTCATCCATTTCACCTCATTTTAGTCCTTTCAAAATATTTTTAAATCCCATTTACAACCTTTTAATCAGTTTTAATACTTTTAATACCATTATAATTATTGTTGACCCCATTTTAAATTAGTATTTAAAAGACTCTTTAATCCTGCTTTATTCCATTTTCATCCTGTTTTCATGTCTTTCAATCCTTTTTACACTGTTTTATTTTAACCCAGATTTTATGGTTTTTAATCCTCTTCTCATCCTTCCTAATCCAATTTTAAAACTTTTAATTTAAATTTAATTTAAAATCCTGTTTAAATCCCATTAATTCTCTTTTTTAACCAATAAATTCTTTGTGGGTTTACTCATTTCCCCCAAAATTCTGATGGTTTGGGTTTTATCAGTTTTCCACCTTTTCCCATGGAATTTCTGCTACCAAGAAAAAAAAAAAAAAGACATAGAATAATTGTTTAAAAAAATAAAAGGTAAAAATAGTAAAAATACCTGCCTGGTGAGAATTTTTTGGTGGAAAAAAATATTGGAATTGATTAAAAAATGATTAGGAAGGGTTTAAAAGAGGATAAAAGGGATTTAAATGGGATTTTAAAGGTTTAAAATTGGATTAGGAAGAACGAGAAGAGGATTAAAAAAAGGTTAAATATTTTTAAATATTAAAAATAAAATAAAAATACATTATACAAAATATACATACAAAATATATGTTGAAATAAAACGGTGTAAAAACATTAAAAATGGATGTACATGGAATAAAACAAGATTAAAGAGTCTTTAATAATTTAAAATGGTGTTAAAAATAATTATAATGTTATTAAAACAGATTAAAAGAATGAAAATGGGATTAAAAAGTGTTTCAAAAAGACTAAAATGGGATGAAATATATGAAAACCAGATTAAACGGACAAAAACAGGAGGAAAAAGACAAAAACTGTGCTAAAAAATAAAACTGGATAAAAAAAAGATTAGAACAGAATGAAAAAGGAGAAACTGGAACAAAAAATATTAAAGCAGGATGAAAAGGACTTAAATAGGATTAAAAATTACAAAAGCTGAATGAAGATGACTAGAATTGGATGAAATGGATTAAAACAGGATGAAACTGACTAAAACGGGATGAAAATGGACTAAAATGAGATGAGAAATGACTAAACCAGAATTAAAAGTACTAAAATGGGACAGAAAAGGGTCAAAAGAGGTTTTAATGGACTAAAAGATGATGGAAAAGACTAAAATGGCATTAAAATTGTTGGAAAATTATTAAAAGTGGATTAAAATTATTAAAAAGGATCAAAAAGAACAAAAAGAAGATTTGAGGATTGAAATAGGATTAAAAAAGATTCAAGCAGGATGGAAAACTGCTAAAATTGAATGGAAAGGTTCAAATAGAAGCAAATGGACTCAAAGAGGTTAAAAGGATTAAAATGGGACTAAAAAGGGAACAAAGAGGTTTTAAGGGACTAAAAGATGATAAAAAAGGTGAAAATGGGATTAGAAGGATAAAACAGGAGAAAAAAATGAGGAAAAGTGGGTTAATAACTATTACAAATATTAAAAAAGGAAAAAACCTATTAGAAATATTAAAGAGGAAAAGGGCTAAAAGAGGATTAAAATGGTTAGAACAAGAGGACAAATAATGAAGAAGTGGTTGAAAAGGAAATTTTGGTTAAAATTTGGTTTGGGACTCACAGAGCTGGCGGTGAACGACATCATCAGGTACTCGCCCTTCTCAAAAGTGTCTGGAGTGAGCAAAGAAATAAAATAAAAATAAAGTTGAAATGAGAATTAAATTTAAATTAAAATTGAAATGGAAATTAAAATTAAAAGAGAAAAGAACAATTAAAAATAAAGAAAAACAAAAAGATAAAATTATAGGATAAGGAACAATAAAAATAAAATTTAAAATGGAAAAAAAATTAAAATTGATAAAATAAAAAAATACAGACAAAATATGGTGTGGAGGAAAGCCAGTCCTGTGACAGGCTTCCTCCTTGGTGATCTGCCCCCTAAGATAAGAGTACTTAGTCATGGTGACCAAGCTGTGGACCCCTTCCTGCTTTGGGACCCCATGTTATCTCCTTGTAAACCATTGGTCATTTTACCCTCGTCCTAAACTATTGGTCATTTTCCCAATTCTCCCCTTGGCTATAAAAACTCCAGCTTTTGCCCATTTCAGTGGATGTGACCGTCACTGGCCCCTTCGCTGAAGACTGCCAATAAAGGACTCTGTTGAACTCTACATGGCTCCTGTGTCTCGTCTACGCATCGGCTGGGGTAACCCATGAGCAGAACTGGGCTGATCTGAGCTGATCACTACAAGAGCTGAAATCACTTCTTAAAGAGCTGATCACTTGAAGCCTCAGACTGCTCACAGGAGTTACTTCTCACTGGGAACCGCCTGAGACCCCTTGGACAGCCATTCCTTGCGTGACGCCTATCCGGTATAGTCGGTGGCAGTGCTGGGGGTCGGACAGACCTCTGGACCAGCCAACAAAAATATGGAATTAAAAATAAAATAAAAATAAGGAACAAAATAAAAAATAAGGTGAAATATAAATGTAAAATTAAAATTTAATAAGAAAAAAACCTAAATGCATAAAATAAAAAATAAAAATAAATAATAAAGAATTTTTTAAAATTAAAATGAAATTAATAATAAAACATAATTTTACAAAATAAAGACGATAAAATAAATAAACAAAAACAAAAAATGAGCAAAATAAAGAGAAAATAAAAATGAAGAAAAGAATAAAAATAAATTCAAAACACCAATAAAAAGAAATAAATATGAATAAAAATTAATAAAATTAAACTCAATAAAATAAAAACAAAAAATTTAAATGAAAATTAATAAAATAAAAATAAGACAAAAAAATCAATAGTAAAACAAATACAAAAGTGATGAATAAAAGAAAAATTAACCTATAAACTTACCAATACAATAAAAAAAAATAACTGCAAATAAAATAGCAACGAATAGAAGAACCACAAGAAAAGGAAAATAAACATAAATAACAAAATAAAAAAAAATTAAACCAAAATAAAATACTTCATCCTTTTACTGCAGAATATTTTTATGAATATAATAAAAATTTACATTATTTAAGTTTTATCCTTTTTACTGTAAGAAGCATTTATTAACTTAATTTTAGCAACTTTAATTAATGAACTTAACCTTAATTTAGCCATTAATGTGTCTTTTTATTCCTCCAAATTTCACTTCATTTGCATTTTATCTTCATTAACGAACCTCAACACCTTCATATTTTTATTTGGTTTTGTCGCTTCACAAAACAACCAGAAATCCCCAAAAACTCAAATTAAGGAGCAAAAAAAAAAATGGTGGGAAATTTGTGCCAGCAGGCCATGAGTTGATTAATGAATGTATTAATTAATTTTGCAAATGAGGCTGACCGATGCCCACGCCATCATCCCAGTAGAGGTTCCCCGAGGCCTCCTGGGCGTCGTCCAGAGCAACAGTCAGGAGCAGCGGGTTCTGGCGGCTGGAAAAACCAAACTTTTAGGATTTGGCACCTAAATCCAGGGGATTTGGGATTACACAGGTGGGAAATTGGGAAAATGAAATGAGGGGGAAAGAGATCCAGCTGAGAGGAAATTGGGAGGGGTCCTTATGTTGGTGTTGGGATTTTAGTGGGCTTGAGGGAATGGGTTTGAGTTTTGGGTTTGGAATTGATTTTTAAAATTTTGATTTCAATTTGCAGGGTTTATTTGCAGTAGATAAAATTATAATTTATATTTCACATGTAAATTATATTATATATTTATCTTTGTTTATATTTGTAGAAATTGATACACTCATATATTATTTACATACTTACATATGTAAATACATATTTAAGTATTTTAGTATTTAAATATCTATAATGTTGTGGATTTGTATATATTTACCTATTTACATATTCATATATTTATGTATTTATATACTAAGTATTTATGTATATTTGTATGTTTACATATGTTTACATATTTATTTTAAAGTTTTAATCTAATGTGTTTTTATAGTCTGTTTCTAGATTCTGAAATTATGTAATAATATATAATTATTTATGTTATATATAATGATTATAAACAATATATCATACAAAATAGAAATATCTCTTATTTTACATATATTCTGGAATATGTTATTATATATAATAAACAGTTTCTATACCAGATATAAAATATTAATATAAGATGCCTTTCACATATTTATATATTTTAATTAATATGCAAATAATACATAATATATATCATCTGTGTACTTATGTTAAAATTATATGAGACATTTAAAATAACTATGCTACTTATTACATGTATTAATATTTATGCATATTAAGTATGAATGAGTATACCTTTATGTATGGAAAATGCTGTACTTAAATTTTTATTTTATAATTTAACTTTTAATTTTTTAATTTAATACAAAATTAAAAGAGGGTTATTAAAGATGAAACACAACATACAATATATCTATAATAAATAATACATAATTATAAGAACAAATATTTTATACATTATGTTTTATGTATATTAATTTATATTATTTATATAATTATAGTAAATTTTATTTTATATAAGCAATATAAAACATATTATGTTTTACATGTTATATATTATATAACGTTTCTATATATTTCTATGTTTTATATATACATATTTATACATATGGAAAATATCTTTTATGCATAAAGTATGCTTTTACATTTAATATTTAAGATCATATACAATATCAAATATCATGCAAAGGAGTATACAGCAATGCAATTACTTATATGATAAAAATTATTAATGCTAGGAATTACATTTTATTTTATATTCTATTAATTTACAATCCCAAGAACCAACAGAATAAATTGCAGTTCAATTTTAATTGGCCACATTTTATTTGGTTGGTGCTTCTTACCATTCCATATATTCTACATTTAGTATTTTATCTTTTATCTTTAATATTTTCTCTTTCATATTCTATCTTTAAATTTTCTGTGTTTTTTATATATTTTATATATTTCATATATTTGATAAACAAAAAATCATAATAGTAATGTAGTAATAATAATGTTTAATACATTGTAACATTATATTAAAATATTATATTTATAAAATATAAATTAATATTTAATAATTTAATAATTTAAATTATATTTTAATTACATATAACAATGGAGTATTTTAATGACTTATTATACAAATACTATAACATATTATAAAATTATATATAACATTTTTAATGTATTATATATGTGTGTATATGTTTAATATAGTATTATATTATAAGATGATAATATTATAATACTATATTAAACATTATTATTGCTACCATTACAATTATTATTTTGAATCTATTGAAATATATAAAATATATTAAATATAAGACAATACAGAAAATTCAAAGACAAATGATAAAACAAAATACAAATATTAATATATTAAGTTATACATTATATAATATATATATAATATAATTCATTATATATTCAATATATAATTATACATTAATATATACATATTAAATATTAAATATACACTAATAATAGTGGTTTAAGATACATAGTAATTCACATTATGTTTCTTTATCGAGTTAAAAACCCCAAAAGCAAGGAAATTGTCCCCGTTTTTCACCTGAACCAAGTGTTGTTGGCTGGGAGCTGCTGGGGGAGGATGTGGCCTCCCCGCACATGGAGGTTGATGTGGCCCAGGGGTGCTGGAAAGTTCTGGAACTGGTGACGGAATACAACCTCCTCGTCCTGGGGAATGTCGAAAAATGGTAAAATTCATAAATAATCACAGAGTTTTGCAAAAAATTGACCAAAAAATTGAGAAAAAAATCACCAAAAAAAGGACAAAAAATGGACAAGAAATTACAAAGAAAGTACAAAAAATTTACTTAAAATCGACAGAAATTCACAAAAGTTGACAAAACTTTACTAAGAACTGACAAAAAATTTACAATAACAAGCAGAAATTTACAAAAGTTGCTAGAAATTTAAGAAATTTGTGAAAGCTTACAAAAAATTACAAAAATTTACTAAAAAACTAGTTTACTAAAAGGAGACAAATTGACAGAAATTGACAAAAATTTGTATAAACATATAGAAATTTACAGAAAGTGTGATAAATTTAGCAAAAATTAATGAAAAGTTTATGACAAAATACCCAAAATGAGCCTCTTAATTTATTTGAAGTTATTGAATTTTCTTTTTAGTTTTATCGATTTTGAAATTTTTGTGTTTTCTTGTTTTTTTAAAAAACTTTCAGATACATCAAATTTTGGTAAATTTTAAAAATTAATTGGGTTTTACACTCTTAAATTTATTGAATGTTATTGCTGTTTAAAAATTAATTAAATTTCTCAATGATCCAATGCATTGGATTTTTTAAAAAAGTTGCTAGGTGTATTTTTTTGGTATATTGAGCTCTATCAACATTTTTTCGTCTAGATTTTTAAAAATTTATTGAATTTTTTTGTTTTTTAACATTTATTGAGGTTGAAATTTTTTTAATTTATTGCATTTAATTGAATTTTGTTAAATTTGATTGGATTTCATTGAATGCTATTGACTGTTTAAATTTAGTGAATTTATTTTTTCAACTAAACTCATTGAACTGAATAAAATCTTTACATTTCAAAAATATTCTTTATTCTCGGGCTGTTTTTCAAAATTTGTGTAGTATAAATTTCATTTTTTTTATATAACATAGGTAATTTATTGTGCATTTATAAAATGAGATAAAGTAAAGCAAAGTGAGACAAAATAAAGTAACAGAAAATATTAATGCTAAAATAACATAAGGTTAAATGAAATACATACAATAAAATAAATAAAACTGAAAATAAAATAAGGTGTCATGAAATTAAATGCAATAAAATAAAAACAGTGAAAAAATATATTCAATAGAATTAATAAAATTAAAATTTTAAACTGAGAAATAATAGAGAAAAATGAACTATAAAATGTTGAAAAATTAAAATAAACTAAATTTTAAAACGGGGTTAAAATAAGATCAAATTAAATAAAGACAACAAAAGGAAGAAATAAAATGAAATTAAATAAAAGACAATGAAGTTAAATAAAATAAAATATATTTATAAGGTAATTTTTTTTCATCACTATTGCTCCTCCCCCTGCTCAACATTTGGGGGAAAAATTCACTCAGTTAAACAATAATAATTACGTTTTTCACATACATATGGTCCAAATAATCAATTATCCTAATTCCAATTCCATTTTCTTATCAGGAAAAAGGAGATTTTTGGGGAACTCACAGTGTGGAAATTGAACCAGCGGGCATCAGGCAGATATGCACGCACCTCGGATACACCCTGGAATGAAACATTTTGGGGTTTTTCATGCCAAAATCCCAATTTTCGGGTATTTGGGTGGTTTTTTGGGATTTCCCTCATTTTTCCCATTTTGTCCCAGTTTCCTCACCGGCTCCAGGACAGGGCTGATGAGCAGACCCGCCCCCCACATGAACTGCCTGTAAATGTCCCACGTAATTCTGTCCTCCACAAACCTGCATAGGAAAAGGAGAATTTTGGGGAAATTTTCCAATTAATGAATCTCATTGAAAATAATTATTAAAAGAATTCTGCCTTTTCATGTAAGCTAAAATAAGTATTATATAATATAATACTACATTATAAGTTATTTTATATTTCTAAAAACCACATAAACATTCTCCAAGTGTAAATATATATATTTTATAATATATAAAATATTATTAAAAAGAAATATAAGTAGAAATAGCAATAGAAATAGAAATATAGAATATTATATAACTTTATATATTTTATATATTTATAAATAGAAATATAAAATATTATATATATTTAATATTATATATGAACATCGAAAATTACTATATTACATACTCTTTTATGCCGCATATTTATATAATATTTATATATTCCAAAATTATTATTATTATTATTCTATTTTTAATTTTTAATTATTTTAATTTTAATATTTTATATACATTTCATCCTATATATTTTATATCTACATTTCATTTTTATGCTTGTATTTTATGTACTGTATATATTGTATAATTTTTACATTGTTTTGTTTTAGATATTGTAAACATTGTAAATATGTTAGATATTGTATATATTGTATATAATTTTATATTGTATAAATTTTATACATTGTAGTTTATTTTTTTATCTTTTTATTTTATATATGACACAAAAATACAAGCCCAAATACATTTTTATGCATACTTTTACACATATTTATACCTAAAAAAAATTAAAAATACAATGTACCCATTATTTTTTATGCGATTCCACAGGTTTTTTGGGCAGATTTGGGAACCCCATGGATTTTGGGGTGAAAAAGGGTGGTTTTGGGCAAACTCACTCATGCAGGAGGGGCCGCACCACAGTGCTGCCACGGACATGGGCGTGGAACATCAGTGTGTACAGGTGGGGCAGGAGCCGGTACCGGAGCTGGAGCACGGCCCGGGACAGATCCGCGAAAGTGGAATTCCAGGCCACGGGGTCCTGGCGCTGAAATGGGACAAAAATCTGAGGCTTCGGGTTATGGGGGAAAGACAGTGATTTTGGGTAATTGGGTGAAAGATGGAGATTTTGGGCTATGGGATGAAAAATGGAGATTTTGGGTCATGGAGTGAAAAACAATGATTTTTAGTCACAGGGTGGAAAATGGTGATTTTGAGTCATGCAGCGAAAAATGGTGATTTTGAGTCAAGGAGTGAAAAATTGAGATTTTGGGTAATGGGGGAAAAAAGTGGTGATTTTGAGTATGGGAAAATACAGGGAAAATACAGGGAAAATACAGGGAAAATATGGGAAAGATATGGGGGAAATACAGAGCAAATGTGGAAATTATAGGGAAAATATGGGGAAAACTATAAGAAAAAATATGGAAAAAATGTACTAAATATGGGGAAAATACGGGAAATATGGGAGAATGGAAATGGGGGAGAACATGAGAAATAAAGGGAAAGTATGAGAAATATAGGGAAAACATGGGGAAAAATAATACAGGAAATATATGGAAAATATAGGGTAAATACAGGGAAAGTATGGGAAACATGGAGAAAATGTGGGAAAATAGGAGGAAAATAGGATAAATACAGGGAAAATATCAGAAATACAGGGAAAACACAGGAATTATGGGGAAACTATGGGAATTATGGGAAATATGAAGAAGTATGAGGAAAATATGGGACATATTGGGGAAAGATAGGGAAAAGATGAGGAATATTTGGGAAAATATGAGGAAAATATGGGAAATAAAGGGGAAATGTGGGTATATAAGGGAAAAATGGGTTCTACTGCGAAAATATGGGGCATAGACTGAAACTATAGGAAAAAATTAGGAACTATGGGGAAAATACTGGAAATATGGGGAAAATATGGGAGCTACTTTAAAAAAGTAGGGAAAAGATAGGGAAACATGAAAAATACAGGGGAAAATATGGAGAAAATATGGGAAATATCTGGAAAATATGAAGAAAATGCAGGAAAAATGTGAATTATGGGGACAATATGGGAAACATTGAGGAAATACAAGAAATATAGGGAAATACGGGAAGTACAGGAAAATGGGGAAACTAAGGGAAATATCAGGGAATGATGGTGAAGATATGGGCAAAATAAGGGAAATACAGGGAACATATAGGAAAAGGTTTGGGGAAATATGGGAAAAATTTTGGGGAAATATGGGCAAAATATGGAGGAAATATGGGCAAAATATGGGAACTATGGGGAAAATACTGCAAATATGTTGGAAATGTAGGAACTACTGGGAAAAACTAGGGCAAATGCAGAAATACAGAGAAAATATGGGAAATACTGGGAAAATTTGGGAAAAAGATAGGAAATATGAAAAATATATGAAATAAAATATGAAAAATATGAAAAAAATAAGTATAGAAAATATGGGAATTAGCCACTTTTAGTAAAAATCAAGGTGGAATTCACCTACCTTGGCCTTGTTCCCATTGTGGTTGCGGGAATAGGGATAGAAGGCACCGAGCTCCATCCAGCGGGCGCAGAGTTCATATGAGGGCTCCCCGAAAAATCCACAAATATCGGCCCCACTCTGCAAAAAAAAAATCCCAAGCAGGCCGTGCACAAAATACACCATTATGGTTAATAGGAGAACTGGAGAGTCAGGGATGCACGAGGGACTTACATAAGAGATCCCAAAGAGGCTGAATTCCATCATTCCTGTGGATTAATTTGGAAATTGTTGGAATTGGTCAAAAAATCAACCATAGGGACAAAAATTCTTTTACCTTGGCTGAGTTTGAATCATTTTCAGGTCAAAAAAATGGGATAATTGGAAGGTAATCAAGGAGGAAAATTGATTTTTTCTTCAATTTTGCCCAAAAATCTGATTATGAGGAAGGAAACAAAGAAATATGGAATTTTGGCTCAAAAATATTAATATTATGTAGGAAAACAAGGAGAAATATGAAATTTTGGCTCCAAAAATGTGATTATTTGGAAAGAAACCTAGAAAGATCATGGAATTCTGGGTCAAGAAAATGTGATTATTGGAGAAGAAACTCCTCTGGGTTTGGTTCATTTTGGCATGAAAAATGGGATAATCAGAAGGGAATCAAGAAGAAAAATTGAATTTCCGCTCACAAATGTGATTATAAGGAAGGAATCAAGAAATAAGGGATTTTGGGTCAAAAAAGCTCATTAGTGGAGAGGAAATCAATAAATATGAAATTCAAGTTCAAAAAATAGTGATCATTAGGAAAGAAACCAAGAAAGAACATGGAATTTTGGCTCAAAAAATGCAAATATTTGGAAGGAAAGCAAGAAGAAATATGGAATCTGGGCTCAAAAATATTTTTTTATGTAGGAAAACAAAAAATATATGGAATTTTGTCTCAAAAATGTGATTGTTGTATAAGAAACTGAGAAGAAATACAGAATTTTGGCTCCAAGATATGATTATTTTGCAGGAAACCAAGGAGAAATAGGGAATTTTAGCCCAAAAAAATGGGATTATTCGGAAAGAAACCATGGAAGAACATGGAATTCCGGCTCAAGAAAATGTGATTTTTAGAGCAGAATGTTGGCTCAAAAATAGAGTTTTTTTTTTTACAAAACTTAGAAACACAGAATTTTGGGTGGAAAAGCAGGATTTTGGGTGCTCACCAATGATGGATTTGTCCAGCTGGTTCCAGGCAGCTGTGTTGTCCCCCAGCCAGTGCCCCGCCCACCTCCCGCTGCTGGGGAAGGTTGAGCGTGTGACAACTATCCCACGCTCCCCTGTGAGGTTCCGCAGGATGCTGGGGAGAAATCCCAGAATTTGGTGATTCAGGGAGAGGAAAAAACCAGAGTTTTAGTTTTTTAAAAGTTTATGTTTATATATTAAATATGAAACTGGCAGGGGCTGGTCTAAAAAGAGTCATATTTAAGTTGGCATTTTTGTCTTGGTTTGGAAATTTCCATTTCCTTTTCCTTTTCCTTTCCCATTCCTATTCCCGATCCCATTCCCATTTCCATTTCCATTCCCATTCCCATTTCTGTTTCTGTTTCCTTTTCCATTCCATTCCCACTCCCATCCCCATTTTCCTTTCCAAGTAATTAATTGCTTTTGATTAGGTAATTGATTCTCATTAACTGATTTTAATTGGTTAACCACTCTTGATTGATTAATCCTCCTTAAGTAATAAACTACTTGTGATTGATTAATTCCTTTTAATTGATTATGATTATTCCCTTTTAGTTGATAAACTGCTTGTAACCACTTACTTTAAACTGACTTACTGCTTTTTAAAATTAATCCTCTTTAACTGATTAATTGATTATGATTAATTATTTTAATTGATTAATTATTTTTAACTGAATGTGTGGTTAATTGCTTTAAATTGATGGATTATTCTATTATTCCCCTTTAACTGATCAACTGTAATTAATTGCTTTTTTAATTGATTTTTTTTTATTAATCTCCTTTAACTGATAAACTCCTTGGTTTTGATTAATTCCTTTTAATTGATTAATTGCTTTTGATTAACTCCCTTTAACTAAATAACAGCATGTGAATGATTAATTGCTTTAAATTGATTGATTGCTTTTCAAATTATTCCTCTTTAACAGATCAACTGCTTGTGATTGATTTATGCAATTTAATTGATTAATTGGTTTTGATTATTTATGTGTAATTGATTAATTGCTTTTGCTTTGATTTGATTTTTATTTCTTTTAATTAGTTAATTGCTCTTGTGTAAATAACTCCTTTTGATTAATGAATCCAAGTTTCTAGAAATGTCCTTGTGAGTTTAAAGGATGTTTTTGGGCATTTTAAGGTGAAATCAGTGAAATTATTCCTGTTTAACTGACTCAAATACCAGAAGGGACTCAGATAGCCAGAAAAAAATGGGAGAAAACAGAAGATTTCCAGCAAAAGAAAGGGAGGAACATTTTGGTATAAGAAGATTGAAAATGGGTGTTGATTTTTGAGGAATTCCAGGCCAGAAGGATGAGAAATAAATGCAAATAACAGGGACAAAAGTGGAAAAGCAACTCACTCCAAGGTGGGTTTGGTCTGCGCCCACCCGTAGAGGTTGTGGACGTCATAGTGGCGTACGGGCGACCCGTCTGGCAGCTGCTGCTGCCCCTCCATGCAGATGGTTTTGAAGCTCAGGCCCTCAGATCGGGATCCCAATTCTGCCAGAAAAGGGGGAAAAAAAAATCCACCCAAATTGCGTCAAACAGCACTCAGGAGTAATAAAAACTTTCTTTTATTTTTTTAAGGATTGGGTGTTGTTGGTTAAAATTATTAATGAAGAATGTATTTGGAGTTTTACACAAGAATTTTTTGTAGGGAATTCAAGGCTTGCTGGAATTTGGTTTTGAAAGTTTGGAGTGTGATGGAAATGGGATTTTAGGAAAAGTTGGAAATGCTGAGACTGGATTTCGGAAGTACAGGAAATGATTAAAATGGATTTTTAGGACAATTAGGAAATGCTGTAATTGGATTTTAGAAATTCAGGGAATAAAAAGAGAATGAAGTTTTAGAAAAAAACAGGAAATGCTGAAGTTGGATTTCAGAAACTCTGGGAATGAAGAAAATGAAGTTTTAAAAAAAGAAGAAAAGCTGAAATTTGATTTCATAAATGAGGAAATACTGAAATTTAATTTCAGAAATTCAGAAAATAATGAAAATGGAATATTTTAATATTTTTAGAATTTTTAAAGGCTGAAATTTGGTTTCATAGATTAAGAAATGCTGAAATTTTATTTCACTAATTCAGGAAAATCTTTGAGTCCGAACAATCCTGTGTGAGGATCTGGATCTGTGAGGTGAGTTTGCAAGTGTCTCTTAACTCTGAAAATTGGGGGGTTTGTCTGTTTTAACATAAATTGTCTTAAAATCCACAGACCTGACAAAACAAAATCCCAAGAGAAAAACACTCAAACCCCACAGAAAAAAATAATCTGAATTCTCAGCAGTTCAAGGCACTGTTTTCACCAACAAAGATGGAGCTAGAAGTGCTGAATTTCCATTTTGGGCTCACTTGGGGTTTAATCCATATTATATCCATATTTATCTCATGCATATTGACCCAAAATGTTGGAATTTTGGGATGTTCCAAGACGTACGGGGCATGTAGGGTGGGAAGTTGAGGTTCTGGTCCCGGCAGCCGCCGATGGTGCCATGGACAAAGCTTGAGGGCTCATTCATGTCCTGAGGGCAGGAAAAACAGCAAAATTCCTCTTAAATTAGGGGAATTATGCTTAAATTGGGAGAATTTCTCTTAAATTGGGGGAATTCCTATTATACTGGGGAAATTCCTCTTAAATTGAAGTAATTCTTCTTAAATTGGTGTAATTCCAGTTGGTTTAATTCCTCATTTTCACAAAAAGTTAATTATTTTTATTTATCAAAATTAATGACATTATTTAACGAAATAGAGGAAAATTTGTATTTTTGGGCCAACTAGATTTTTTAATTTAATCAATAGGAAATTTTCCTGATGGAAATTCCCTTCATGGCCAAATCCTGAAAATTAGCAATATTTCACTTCCCATGGATCAAATCAAAATCAAATTTATTAAGAAAATGAGGGAATTAATGAATCATTAATTAATTAAATAGGTTCCTTAGGGTAAGAGCCTGTGGATTGCAGGATTGTTTCTGGATTTGCCAAATTTCTGGGAAAACCCCTGTTTTCCTCTCTGGAAAGGGAAATTAAGTTGAGAAGTATCATTAAGTATATAGAAATTAGGGAAATCCCTAATACCCTAATTTGGTGATTATATAGGGAAAATAATGGGAAAATGCCAAATATTTCCCAGGATTTTAAAAATTTTTGTGTGTTTCTGGATTCAGAAGATTTATTTATATTTATTTCTGGCTTTTCTATATTTTTCTGTATTTACTGTCTCTGTATTTATTTATTTCTCTGTTTCTAATTATTTTCTTTATTTTCTCTCTTTTTTCTATATTTCCTCACACTGATTTTCTCCATTTTGCTGTATATCTATTTCTTTTCTCTTTTTTCCTTTTATAATATTTTTCTAAATTTATTTTCTACATTTTTCTCTACTTATTTCCTCTATTTTCTCTGTATTTTTCCTATATTTTCCATATTTATTTTGTACATTTTTCTATTTCTTTCCTCTATTTTTCCCTTTTTCTCTCTTTTCTATTGTTTTTATATTTATTTCTCTATTTTCCTCTTTTTTTCCTATATTTTCCCTATTTTAGTTTTCAACTAATCTTTATTTCCTTATATATATAGCCAAAAAGAAAATAATCAGTAAATAATAAATAAATCTAAAAAACAATTTGGAGAACTTATTGAAGTAAAAAAACCCCCAATTAACCAAAAACCCACAAAATTAAAACAATAGGAAGACATTAAAAATTAATATTGTGGGAAGATATTTTTGAACAAATAAATCAAAATAAACCCATAAACATATGAAAATAATTTCAGAAATTATTTTTAAAAAATTTAAAAAAAATAAACACAACAATGATTGGATAAAGTCTTTTAGGGTGAATTTTTGTGATTAAACTCTGTGACACTGCTGGGGTTTTTTGGGAAGGGGTGGAGCCACAATTTTGGGCTGAATCCCCCAAAGAAAGAAGTTTCCCACTGACGATCCAGAGTCCATCGAATTTGATGCTGAGGGAGGAGTTCCGGGGGTTTTCGTAGACTTCAGCAATTTCCTGTGCCCACCAATCCTTGGTGGAGTTCCGGAAAAAATCTGGCATGGCAGCAAAGGCCCGATACAGCTGGGGGAGAGGGGGAAAGTGGCATTAATTTGGGTTAAATCAATATAAAATTAATTAAAATAAGAATTTATTGGGTTTTAAATAGAATACTTTTTAGTTAAACAAATTTTTTAAAAGATGAATATATAAAAATAATATATAAATAATATTTATATTATATTGTTATTTCTTGTATTCTGTATCATACCTAGTATCTATATTATTTTACCTTTTATATTTACATATATAATTATAAACCTAAAATTATAATTAAATAATTTGTAAATACAATTAATTTTTATTAGTTAAAATAAATAGTAATTATAAATGTGAACTATAACAAATTGTAATTAATTGTAAGTAATAATAATTTATTGTAACGCTTATTATAATAAGCACTAGTGATTATAACTAAGTTCTAAACACAATCATAAATTAAAATAAATTAATTAACTATACCATATTAAAATTTAATAATATAAAGTAAATAAAAATATTTATAAAACCAGAATTTAGATTTTTAATATGGTTGCAATTTTATTTAATTAGAATTTTTTAAAAAATGCATTTAATTCCTTTAGAATAAAAATTACATTTTTTGAAAATAGAATTAAAGTTCTATCAAAATACATATCTTAAAAAATATATTATTTTGAATAATACTAATAGATTTTTTTAAAAATAAATTAAAAACTTAAATGTAGCTTATTTATTTTTAAAAAGTGTTTAAAAAATATGTAATTGAATTTTTTAGGAGTGTATTTTTCAGAAAAGTATTTGGTTTCTGATATAAATAAAATTAAAAAATATAACTAATATTTAAAAAATACATTTAATTTTTTACAGAAGTTTCATTTTTGATAGGAAACTGTACTTCTTATAAAACAAATTTAATATCATTAAAGCAATTTTTTTCAAAATAGAGATTGAATTTTTAAAGAAACAAGTCTTAAAATGCAAATTTAACTTTTCAACAGGAAATTATGAAAATAAATATTTGATAGAAACTTGATTATTTACAAATACAAATTATGTTTATAAATTACGAAATATTTTAAAATATTTTTAATGACTCATAGGTGTTTTTACAGAAACATAATTTTTTAAAATATAAAAATTCTTAAAGTAGAATTTTAACTTTTTTTAAAAATAGTTTTTCAATTGGAGTCTAAATTTTTAATAGAATTTTTGTCACAGAAAATATTAGAAATAGAAGCCTAATTTTTTTAATAGCTGTTAAAATAGAAATTTAATTCTTCTTTGAAAATTCCCCATTCACCACATTTTTCCTGGCAGAGACACTGGGGCACTTTTGGAGTATTTTTTACTTAATTGGTTTTTTTTCTGTCCTGGTACAAAACTGGGGCAATTCCTGCACTGACCTCGATTTCCTCAGCCAGTTACGGTATAAACATGAGGAATTTCACATTCCCACTTTTCCTCCCCAGAATGCCAATGCTCACCTCCACTTGGGTGTCCCAATCCAGGGAATCATTGACCACCACGTTGGGCAGGTCCGGCCACACCTGGAGGAGGAGAGGGCAAAATAAATTAAATAATTGCAATATTAAAGTAATAACATATTAAAATTAAGCTGACTTGATTTCAAACAGGATTGAAAAAAAATCAAATAGAATGAAATTGAATTAAAACTTAAAAATTAAAATTAGCTTGAAACCTTTAGTATTTCAGAAAAGTATTGTAAATTAAAATTAATTTTATTTTATCTAATTGTCTTCTATATTTTTATTTAGTTTTATTCTTGCCTTATTTTAGGTCTTTAAATTTTATAATATTTAAATGTAACCTGAATTTTTTAAATTTATTGATTTTAAAATGTTTTTGTTTACTTAATCTTATTTTTTAGTTTATTGCTTAGTTTCTATTGTTTAATTTTTAAATGTTTTTATTCTATGTAATCTTAAATTGACTTTTTATCTTTTTCCTTATGGATTTTAAAAAATTTATGTACTCTCAATCTTATTTTAATTTTTAGTTCATTTTCATTTCTTTTTAATTCAATCTTTATACTTTTTCTTCATTTGATCACAATCACATTTTCAGTTGTAAATTGATTTATTTTTTATTTTATATTAAATCTTACCATTGCTTTATTTTTGGTGTATTTTTTACTGTTTATCTTTTATATTTTATACTTCTTTTATATTTTTCTTTTATCCTACCTTTTAAGATTTTTGTTTTTACATTTTTTTTTTTTTTTACTTTTTTACCTTTTCTTTAAAATTTTAAATTTATCCTTTAAATTTTTTGTATTTTTTTCATACAAATCTTAATTTTTTTTCTTTACATTGTTTTTATTTTGTCATTTAATCTCATTTTACTTTTATCAGACAAGATCGGACTTGCTAAGATAATGAAACGGATAAAACAGTATGGTCAGACCCAAACCAATCTATCAACAAAATCTGTCAATTTGGATGATATTAGCAATTACAACGGGATTATTGGGGAAATTTTGGGTGAAATAATCGGGATTTTGACCTTGGCGTAGACAAGGTCATCACTGTCGGGCCACTTGATGAAGACATCCTGCTGCATGCCACGATCATAGGCCGGGTAATTAGTCTCGTTGGCTGAGATGGCTGGGTCCTGAAATTCAAATATTAATTGACTTTTAATCCTGAGTTTTAACATTTTTTGGCCTAAATACAGGGTTTTAAAGCTTAAACATTAAGTTTCATTTCAATTTCCAGTTATCTTAACATAAGCTGCAGTTCAATTTTTAATTAGGTTCTGACTGTAATTAAATAATTTCATTGGGCCCTCCCTTAGACCCGCCCTTTTAAGGGATGACATCATCACTAGCATGCCAAAGAGGTGCATCCTACCCTTTAGCCCCACCCCCTCCTTAGCACCTCCTATTTCAGTGATGATATCACCACCAGGATGAGGATGAAGTACATGCCATCCTTTAGCCACACCCCCTCCTTAGCCCTAACCATATTCAATGACGACATCACCACTAGGATGAAGACAAAGTGTATCCTGTCCTTTGGCCCCACCCCCTCTGTGAACCTCACTCCCTTTTGGGTATGACATCATCACCAGGATGGGGATGAAGCTCATTCCGTACTTTTTCCCCCTTTCCTTACTCTTCCCCTTTTAGTGATGACATCATCACCTGGATAGGAATGACGTGTATCCCCTCCTTTAGCCCTGCCCCTCTCAGCTAACCCCATCCCCTTTAGGGTATGATGTCACCACCAGGATGAGGATAAAGTGCATCCTGTCCTTTAGCCCCACTCTGTCCTCCTAATCCCAGCCCCTTTCAGTGATGACGTCATCACCAGAATGAGGATGAAGCGCATCCCATTGCTCTGGATGCGCCGCACGAGCTCTGGGAGCCCCTGGAAGCGTGGGCTGAGTGTGAAGTCCAGCTGGCGCTCCATGTAATCGATGTCAGCATACTGCACATCCTGTGGGACACCAGGAATGTCACCGGAGAGAGGCGAAATAAAATATGTGGGGTAGTGAGGAAAAGGGAAAATAGGGGGAAAAGGAAAAAATAAATGGGAAAAAAGTGAAAGATGAAATGGGAAAAGGAAAAAATGGAAAAAAAAGTGGAAAAAGGGGGAAAGAAGAAATGGGGGAAAGGGTGAAGAATGAAAAAAAGGAGAAAATAATGGAAAAAAGAGAAAAATGAAAGAAAGGGGGAAGTGAAAAAATGGGGAAAAGTTGGATAAAGAAAAAATGGGTAAAAGAAAGAAAAAAGCAAAATAGAAAATTGGTGAAAAGGAAGAAAGAAGAAAGAGGGAAATTTAAAGTAAAGGAAAAATGGAAATATGAAAAAAAAATCAAAATCAAAAAAAGCAGAAAGAGAATAGATATAAAAATGGGAAAAAGAAAAAAAAAGAAAAAAGCATAAAAAGGTAATGAAAAAATGGTGAAATAAAAAAAAAGGAACACAGCCAAAATGAAAAAAATAGGAAAAAAGAAAAAAATAAATTAAATGAAAGTTGAAGAAATTTAAAAGGCATTGATCATTTATGGTGATCTTGTCACCATCCATCATAGAAATCCCAGAATAAGATATTACCTAATTTATTTCCTACTATGATCGTAAATATTGTATATAATATTTCATATAATGAATCAAAAGATCTGCATTATACATAACAAATAATAAAAAAGAAATGAATGCATATTAATTACATTATGACAAAATAAGAGCAATAATTATAATACAATAAGAGTTATAACGATAGACATTGTTTATGGTCTGCAGTGTTTTTTATAAAAGTCAGTTTTCTCTAAATATGTTATATTTGTATAATTGGGGAGTATTAAAATATACAAATATAGATAGATATAGTATGTAACATCTATATATGACATTATTTTATATTATCATAATTATATTTTTAATATATAAATATATTTTTAATATGGCATTCCAGAATAATCCAGCGAAAACCCGTTTTTCCACATGCCACATTTTTTCCTCAAAAAATCCCAGGGAAAAGTGATCCTAACCTCCCTCCCGATTTTCTTGGATTTCACTGAAAATCCCCCAAGGCTGGGGACTGAACTCACCAGAGGGATCTGGGCTCGGTTCATGTCATTGACCAATTGGGCAATTTCGGCATCGTTTTCATAGCCATAGCGGCAGAGTTGGAAGCCCAGGGCCCAATAGGCAGGCATTACTGGGCGTCCCACCAGCTGGCATGGGGGAAAACAGCATGATTTAGGGAAATTGAGCAAAAAAACCTAAAAACCAAACAAGAAATCAAACAAAAACCCCAAACAAATGAACAAAAAAAAAAGGAAAAACAAAATCACACTGCCCCAAGCAACAAAAAAATCCCCACTGAAGAAATAAAAAGTGAATTAAGGTGAACTAGAAATAAATTTTAAAATAAAGAAATAAAAGCCCTGCAAAAAAGGAACTAGGGGAAGAAGCAAAACAGACAGAAAGGAACCAGAGAAAATGGCAAAACCCAGAAAAACTCAAATCTCTCAAAGGAACCCAAATTAAACAAAAGCCCAAAATCCCTAAACTAAAACTTCCCCAAAAAATCAAAGCCAAGTAAATTCAAGTCCCTAGAAAAAAAAAAATCTGCAAAACCACCCCAGTAAAAACTACCCCCCCCAAAACACCTAAACAAAAAAACTCCTTTAAAATAACAAGGAAAATTTTAAGTCTTCCAAAAATCCAAAACAATAAACTGTTCCCAAAAAAACAAAATGAAAATACTTCGGAATAGCAAATAATCTTCAAAACCCCTCAAAAATGAGGAACTCCCTAAAATAAACACCCCTAAAACACCACAAGAAGAACCAACTCTCTTCCAAAAAGGCAAAAAACATAAAAAACCTTAAAAATATCAAAATGCTCTCCAAAATCCCCTAAAAATTCCTCTAAACCCACCCCATAAATCAAACCAACCCAATAACCACCCATGTAAAAAACACCAAACCTCCCAAAATTTTAGAAATAAACACAACACAAAAAATCCTAAAAATAACCCCAGCAAAAACACCATGAAAAAAACCTCCTGGAAAAACCTCAAACCCCAAATCAAAAATAACATTGAAAATTGCATTAAAAAAAAACACACAAAAAACCCCCTCAAACCAAGACAAACTGACAATCCTCCCAAAATCAGAAATAAAAAAGGGTAACCCAGGGCAAACATTAAAAAATATAACAACCACAAGGAAAACTCCAATAAAATAAAATAGCCTCAAAAAGAAACGTGAAAAACCCAACCCCTTGAAAAAATCCCCCCTAAACATCCAAAAACCTCCTGAAACCCCCCCAATCCGCCTAAATAATTGAGGCCCCACAAATCCCTCAAAGCCTGCCCAAATTCCCTTTGGCTTCCCCCCAATTGTCACCTCTGTGTATTCCTGCACCACTTCCTCAGGAGTTGGCCCTAGGACCAGATAGAAATCCAGAATGCCACCAACAGTGCGGTAGGTGAGGGCTGGGGTTGGCTGGAAAGTGACATCTGGAAAAATAGTAAAGGGAAAAGAAGGTGACAACCCCCCCAAGTTAGAGCTGAAAAATGGAGGATTTTGGAAAAATCCATGGAGAAAAAGAGGAATTGAGGTGTTTTTTACCCATGGCGTTACTGTTGAGCAGCAGGACACCGTGAGCATTGCCATCCTTTTCCAGCCCCATGTAGAAAGGTTGGAAACCATAGGAATTCAGCTTGTACTGTCCCAAAAATTGACATGATGGATTGGGAAGACATGGAAAACATCCCATTATTTATCAACGGATTACCAATTTTTAAAGGGTTTATTAATATTTATAGCATTTATCAATATTTGTACCAATTAGCAGTAAATTATTGATCATTGTAGATACAGTGGAGGAGCTATTGGGTAAAGAATGGGTTGGGTTCAGTTGGGTTGGATTGGGTTAAGTTGAGTTGAGTTGGGATGGATCTTATATCTAGATTCTAATATCTAATTATATCACAATCAAATCTGTTTATTATCATCAATTTAATTTAATAATAAATTTCTGATAATTTTAATATATAAGTATGCATATGAATGTAAATATAAACAATATGAAAAAGTAAGAGCAAATATAAATATTTAAAATATAATTATATAAACATATAAGAATAAAAGTATTAATAGAAATAAATATGTATAATGTAAAAACGAAAATTAAAATTAAAAAATAAGTATAATTTAAAATTAAAACCAAAATTAAAACTTAAATATAAATATAAATGTAAATATACATTTAAACATAAATATAAATGTAAATGTAAATATACATATAATTTTTTTTACCCCCCAGCATGGAACAACCTCCCCTTCATAGAAGAACCCACTCAAAAGCCATTTCCTCATTTCCTTTATGTTTTTCCCTCTAAAAGCCATAGAATTCCAGACTCACGCCTGGGGGCTGGTCGCGAGTGAACATGCCCCAGGTGTGCCAGTCCAGGTTGTGGCGGAAGGCGTCATGCTCAGTCTCGCCGAAGCCAAACACAAACGGTGCTGGGAGGTGTGTGGAGATCTGCAGGAATTGGTCACTGAACATGAATGTCGGCAGCTGTGAGTCCCAGCTGGAAATTGGGTGAAAACGGGGTGAAAATGAGTGAAACTGGGAAAAATCATGAAAATAAGGGGAGGGAATACGAGGGTGAATAAGGGAAATGCAAAAAAAAAGGGGGAGAAGTGAAAAAGTAGGGAGAAAAAATAAAAATAGGGGAAAAAGGAAAAATGGGGGGAAAAAGTGAAAAAATAAGGAAAAATTTAAAAGGGGATAAAACCCAAAACTATGGAGAAAAGATAAAAATAAGGGAAAAAAAAGGCAGAAAAAAAAAGGGAAAAACCCAAAAATAAGGTAGAAGTAAAAATTTGGTGAAAAAAGGCTAAAATGGGGGGAAGTGCAAAAATAGGGAGAAAAGCTAAAAATAGGTGAAAAAAGGCTAAAATAATGGTAAAAAGGACAAAAATAGGGAGAAAAGATAAAAATGGAGAAATAGAGAAAAAAGGAAAAAAGATAAAATAAGGTTAAAATATAGAAATATGGAAAAATTACAAAAATAAGCAAAAAATAGAAAAGAGTTATGTACATAGAAAAAGGAATAAAAAGGACAAAAATAAAAGTAGGGGGAAATAAATACAGGATGAAAAAATACAAAAATGGAACAAAATAAATCAAAACAGGATAAAAATGTAAAAATAAGACACAAAATAAGAAAAACTAAAACCCTATTAAAATGCAAATATTAGGATGAAAAAGTGAAAGTTGAAAAGAATAAAAATAGTATGAAGAATATAAACTATAGCCCAAAACACAAAAGTATGAAAAAAATACAAAAATTTTTTTAAAAAATAAGAGAACATTTAAAAAATAGGTCAAAAACTGAAAAAATTGGACAATAAATGTGGAAGTAGGAAAAAAATTTCAAACTGGGCAAAATATGGCCATTAATATTTACGAAAATAGGGAAACCACCCCCATAAGTAAGACCAAACATTTAAAAGTGGGACCACTAATACAAAAATAGCATTAAGAAGGCAAAAATGAGTCAAAATACTAAAAATATAGAGGTAAGATGGGGGGAAATTACAAAAATTGAATGGAAGTGAAAAAAATGATAAAAAAGTTTTGGAACTAAATTACAAAGAATGGACAAATACATGGAAAAAATAGGAACAATATGTTAAAAAATTTAACTAGGATAAAATACAAAATTAGGCTAAAATAACACAATAATAGGACAAAGATAGTGGAATATTATAAAAATAAGGAAGAAATTTTTTGAAATACTGAAAAACAACCAGGAAGAAATAGCAAAAATAATAGAAAATAATTAAAACATAGGGAAAGAAGCCCTCATAAATATAACATAACACAGAGTTAAAAAAATAGGGGAAAACAAAAAAAATATAAACCAATAGCAAGGGAGAAAAAAGGAAAAGAAAAAATGTAATTTAAGTTTCAGTGAAAAAATAAACGAAGAATTAATGAGAAGATAAAAAACCAAAAGCTAACATTTAAATGAGGAGCCGTAAAATGAAACAAAAAAAGAAAGGGAAAGTGAAAGAGGGGACTCACATGACAGTGCCACTGCTGCGGCGCCGCACCTGGACCCCAAAGGGTCGCTCCTGGATGGTGACATCATAGAGGCGGCGCTGGACTGAGGCCTGGGGGCTGCCCGGGAGTGAGAGTGGCACTGGAACCTCGTACCGCTGAGTGGCAGGGTCGTAAATCTGTGACAGAAAAATAAAAAATATCAAAATTGACAGATTAAAAACATCCAAAAATTCAAAATTTCAAAATGATCTACTTACCATTTCGAAGTGCTAAAATTTTGAAATTCCGAACAAGTTAAAAAACAAAAATAAATATTAAAATGTAGATGTTTTAAATATTTTAAGTATTCCAAAATTTCAAAATATCATCCTTTACACATTTTAAAAATATCAGCATTTCAAAACTTGGACATTTCAAAATTTCAGCACTGAAAACTTTTAAAATGTAGAAATTCCTAAATAAAGCATTTTTTAAAAATCAAGATTACAAAATGTCAATATTTCAGCATTTCAGAATTTTAAAATTTCTAAATTTCAAAAATTCAACATCTCAAAATCTCAAAATTTAAATATGTAAAATATAGAAATTTCTCAATAAAGAATTTTTAAATTCAAAATTTTGAAATGCCAGCAATTCAGCATTTCAAATTTTTTAACATTTTGACATTTCTAACTTTTGAAAATTCAGCTTATGAAAACCTCAAAAATTCAAACTGTAAAATTTAAAACTGCAAAAATTTCAAAATAAAATTTCAAAATATCAGAACTTCAAAATCTCAAAACTTCAACATTTCAATATTTTAACATTATACATTTAAATGAGCCACTTGCATTTCCAGGGGGAAAAAAATTGATGACAACACTTCTCTGTTTTCCTGTTGGCTAATGGGAATTGATCCCCAAATGTAACTAATTAATAGTTTCTAACTGCATGATATTACAATTGTAGATTAGAATTATTACTACAAAATAATATAAGTAAATATAAATATAATAACCCATAAAATTAAATACATAATATACTGTAATATGTTACAATACAATATGATGTATTATAGTTATATTATTTCTATTTCCATTTCTATTTCCATATTTTTATTTCTTTATCATGTATAATGCCTAATATACATTTTCTAATAATATTATCTATTATTTTGTATCATATATAACCAGTAATATATAAAAATAAATGAAGAAAAATAAATACAATTATATATAATATGTAATATATAATAATAGAGTGTAGGGTAAAATATTTAATACAGGATATAAATCAATCTATAAGAAATAATATAATATATAATAAATAAAATAAAAATATTACAAATGAAAATGAAAGCTATCACCTATATAACTATAAAACCTGGTCCACAAAACAGAACATGTTACTCAGCAAATAACAAAAAATAGCAAATAAAAATTCAACCACCAGATTAAGCCAAATTGAGCCAAAATCCACCCAGCTTCCTAATTAATTAATTCATTAACTACCAAACTAACAAGGCCCCACCTTGAACTGCAGCAGGTGGTCCATGTGGAAGGTCACCTCCAGGCCCAGGGTCTCAATGGGTATGGTGGCTGCAGTGGTACTGGCATGGCCATGGCGCTCTAGGGTCACGGTGGCTGTGGCTCCGGTGGGTGAGTACCTGATGTCCGAGGCAGAGTAACCGTTATCGGAGCCGTTGTAGTGGCAGTAGGGGACACGGACGCCTGAGGTATTTTCCTGGGAATTATGAGGAATTCTTGAATTTATGGCACATTTTTGTAATAATTTATCCCAGAAAGTAATTTTTTTAAATGGAAAACTGGTTAATGAGTGGTTTTGCCTCAAATTTGGCACTCTTACTGATCAATAAAACCCCACTGAACCTCTCAATCCCTATACAGAAATCATTAATAATTATAGAATTAATTAGCCTTAATTAATGCTTTCCCAGCTGTCCAGAAATGCAGATATGCCAATAATCCAAAATTCTCTTTTTCTATGACTTTCGCTTAAATTAACAACAAAACACCTTCAAAACTCCATTTTTTTTTTTCCTGTTTGGGCATTTTCCAGAGGATTTGCCCAAAATTAATGAGCAAAATCACGTGACCCCTTTAAACAGACTAATTAGCCTTAAAATTCCCCTATGGAATCTTCTTCCCAGTTAGTTTTTCCCACATTTTTGGTTTTCCCAGATCTTTCCTTTTTACATTTTTTTCTCTTTTCAAATTTTGGTATTTCACAAGTTCTTTGTCCATTCTGAAAGTTTTGACTTTTCACAATTTTCACTTTTTCTAAAATTTCAGCTTTCCACAAGTTTTCAGAAAATTTTGCTCCCTAAAAATTTTTCATTTTCTACAAACTCTTTCATTTCAAAAATACACCATTTTCAGAAATTCTTGCATTTCTCAAATATTTGCTCTCTACAATTCTTTCCCTGTTTGGAATTTCCACTTTTCACAAACATTTCCACTGGACAAATTTTTGTTTTCAGCAGATTTTTTTGCTTTTCACAAATATTTGCTATTGACAAGTTTTTGCTATTAAAAATTTACCTTTTCCAAGAGTTTTTTTTATTTCAGATTTTTTTAAATTTCTCAGATGCCTGCTTTCCACAATCATCTCTTCATGAATTTTTCCTCTTCAGAAATCTTTGGCTTTTCAAAAATCTTGCCTTTTTGCAAATTTTTTGCTTCTCAAACATTCTTGCATTTCAGCAATTTTTCATTCTCAGAAATTTTTGTGGCTATTTCTCCTTAAAAGTTCTCACTTTCCACAATTTTTTTTTTCCTTGTAACAACTTTTCACTCATCATTAATTCCTTTATGGACAAATTCTAAATTTTCACAAATTTCTGCTTTCCAGAAATTTCCCCTCTCTGAAATGTTTTTATTTTAACTTTTTGTTCATCACTTGTTTCCCTGCAGAAAAATTCTCAATTTTCACAATGTTCTACTTTCCAGGAATTTTCATTCCCCACAGCTTCTTTCCTTTAAGACTTTCTGCTCCTCCCTACAGGGAAATTTTTGATTTTTGTGAATTTCTGCTTTCCGGGAGTTTTCTCTTTCCCCAAATCCCAGATATTCACAGATCCTGGGTGATCACTCACATTCCAGATGCAGCCAAGGTGCTCACAACTCTCACGGGACGCACCCTCGGCGGGATGACAATCAAAGCGGTCACTGTCGCGTGTCCCCAGTGTCCAGCGCAGGCTGTAGGATTGACCGAGGCGCAGCCGCAACCCCTGGACTATGGTGACCTGAAAATTAATTGTTATAAATGAAATGTTAATTTATGAGCTGTCAATTAATGGGTCATTGTAAAATACAATGTAAAATGTAAAGCAAAGTATTTTATGTATCATTTTACATATAATTTCAAATAGAAAATTTATCATAGAATAATAACTACTATATTAATATATCATTTATTAAAAATATACTGTTAATACATGTATATGAAACTATTATTATATATTTATATATTTCGTATGTCTAAAAATATACACAAACAATATAAGGTATTCTCTAAACTATATTTATGTGTATAAATAATGTGCTTATATTTACGTATTGATATCTAAACTATATTATAGTATTTTATGAATTATATCTTATGTATTATATACTACATACAATGTATGTATTATATGCTATATAATGTAGAGATATATGAAAATATATATTATATATTTATATTTGAATTAATATATATAAGATATATCTATTACATATAGATTCAAATTGTTACATATATCAATTAATAGCTAATATATAACATTAAAATATTAATATAAATATAATAATGCTACATTAACGTTAATAATATTAATAATTACTCATGGAATAGTTCTATATATTATGTATGTTTTGTATTTTATAGAGAGAAATCAATAATATAAAAGATTACATGACATATACAATTTTATAAAAATCTGTATTTTATATTTATAAATGTATTTATATATAATATATAGATACATATATATATTGATGTATACTTAATAAAATTACAGATAATATATTCATCATATAAGGAATATAAAATATATTTTTATATATTTAACTATTATTATCGATAGGCAATCCAATTTTAATATAGATTATATTAAATATAATATACAACTTAAATATAATATACAACTTAAATATAATATACAATACAAAATACAGTAGTATAAAAATAATTACTATAATAATATATCATATATGTCATTAAGAATATATGGTATAATATAACATTATACATTACATAGAATTATTAATGTAATTACAAGCCTATGTGGACACACTAATATTATTATGTAATATATAAATATATAATACATATTTATAGCACATAATTAATATTCAAGTGCTAAATATTAATACATCGACACCACTCAACTAAAAGAAATAAATTTAGGTGCAATTATTAATTTAAACAAATACAAATTTACAAAGTATAATCACTTACCCATAACCCAATTTCTGCCATTCCCATCAAACCGAATTTCCATTTTCCAAGCCCAAACTTTCCCTGCCCCTCCCTCACCTGTGTGGCAGCGTCATAGGTGAGATTGTGGGGTGATGGGACAGTGGCTTTGCTGGATGTCACGGTGATGGCCAGTGGCGCCTGCCGTAGCCCCAGCACGCGCAGTTCCTGGAACTCCAGCCCGTGAGGCTCTGAGAGGTTGTTGTGGGCCACTGACAGCTCCAGCACAGTCTTGGGGGCAACAGGGACAGTTTGGGGTGAAACAGGAGAATTTTGTTTCATTTCAGATGGGAAGTGTAAAAAAAGATATATTTAATTTATATAAATAATATTTATAAATATATAATTTATTTAAATACTATTTCAAAGGAAAATTTAAAAATATATATTTTTATTATATTTTATCATATATAATATACCAATATCATATATTGTATATTGACATATGATATTCTAATATATTTGACATTACAGTATTGTATATTGTATATTTATATTAATAATATTATTATTAATTATATTGTATTTTTATATATCTATTATATTTAATCCTTGCAAATCAAAATAAAATTCTAGAAGTCATTTTGAAGAATTCTATAAATACAAATATGTTTAAAAATTATCTTAGAAATACATACCCTGGAAGTGTAAAATGAAAATACTTATGTACCTCAATAATCTTTAAAATGATAAATTAATTTTTTTTATTTATATATACACATATATATAACACATTGTTTTTATCATCATTATCAATATTAGCATTATTAGAATCAATATACATCATAACAATATATATTAATATTAATTAATAATATCTTCATATATTTCGCTAATAAAATAGTAATAAAGTTTATTAATTTAGTTATAAAATAGTTCAATTAAATACTATTAGTAATACTGAAATGAATTTTTTATAAAATATAATTAAACATGATTATTATAATTATATACTTAGGAAAGGAAAAAGTAATAACACAGTGATATACAATTAATTAAATTAAATTTTTATTTAAAATATTTTAAAACTATTAATATAAAAATAAAATAATTACTATCAGATGCTAATAATTATAATATTAGAAAAATTAATCTCAGACTGCCATCTTGACCGAGCAACGGCTCTCTAAAAATTTCACATTACCAAATATTTAAAGTTTTTAGGAAGTACTTTAAGGAAAAGGGGGAGGAAAAGGGAACTTGGCTGGGAAGTGTCATGGATTCAAATTTAATCTGTAATCATTAATGGAAAATGTTATTGATTAAACGAGAAATTAAAATTCACTGCTTTAAAGTTTGTGACTCACTTTGGAAAACCAGAAGTTGTAGAAAATGTATGATTTGCTGCTCACAGTATCTAAATTGGGGAGAAAAATAATAATAGTAGTAGTAATAATAATAGAAATAATAACCAGTAATTAATGATTACAATATGCCAGCATATTATAAATTTTTTATAGTTATAATCCTGCTAATTGTAAAATGTATAACATAACATATATATTTATTGTAATATAATTAATATTATTATTAATATTAATATTGTCTATATATTAGATATCTGTTAAATAAATATTAAATATACATTTATATACAAATACATTAACAATTTACAATTTAAAATTTAACACCTATTAGTCTTCCAATTAAGTCTTTACTTTTAATTAAAAAGAAATATAATTCAATTAAGTAATTAATTATAGATTTAATTTTCATTAAAATTCCCACTCTGAATCAATGTGGGGCATTGAAATGTCTGTTCTTCCTTAAATCCCTTTCTTTTGTGGGAGAGTCTCCCTCAACTCCCACGTTTTTCTCTATCCCAGCCATGGGAGCCCAAAACCCCCCAAATCTGTCCCTTTTTACCCCATTTTACCCCACATTCTGAAAATAATTGCCCTGTCCTTAATTATTGAATCAGAAAATTCAATTTCAATTAGGAAGAAAATTATATACTACACTTTTTAATTAAAAAGTGAATTATAAATCAGTAAAAATCAAATATAAAGGAATGAGAATAAAATGATAAAATGAAAAATTAAAAACTGAACGAAAAGAATTAATTTTTTCCCCAACAATACAATTCTTCTTTCATTTTGATGCAGTTTCCCTTATATTCAAGAATTTTTTCCCAAATATTTTCCTCTTGTCATAAATCCATAAACTCCAATTAAATCCACCTATATTAATGCCAAATATTTGCCATTTTATCACAAAATTTTGGCCTTTTTGAATATTTTCTCATTCTGGTTGTCATGGTGAAGGAACTTCAAGTTTTTAAAATATTTTATTTCACTCAAAATCAATAAAACTCAAATATTTTGCCATTTTTTGGGGGAAAATGGCCATTGAAGGATGAAGGTTGTTGAAATATTTGAGTGTCCAAAATTATTTAATTACAGTGAAAACATGCACTAAAGAGACTCTTTGGAGCAACCTCAGAAAATTTGAAATGTATTTCATTTCCAAAATGAATTTTTTCCAAATAGTTCCTAAATACTTTTAAAAATTATTTTTAATAATTATTTTTTAATCTAAAAATTTTAAATGCTTAATTTTTTGATTTTAAACGCTCAAAATTTTGAGTTTCCACTTCCCAACCTGAGATTTTTATTAGAATTTTTGATATTTTTAATGTTTTTAAAATATATATCGGCTATTTGAAATTTTAAATGCAATTTTAAAGATTAAAAGTTTTTAAAAATGAATATATATGTAATTTTGTTTTGAATACTATATTATATATTTTTTTATTTAAATGTAAATATGAAAGATTAAAAATTATTCTTAAATCGGATATTTTGAAATTTTATTTCTTAAAAGAAAATATCCATTCTTTACTACAGGAAATAGGAATCAAAATATAAATACTGTATAAAATTTAAAATTAAATATAAAATTCAAAACACATTTATTTTATTTTTTAATTTTTAAATATTTGTAAAAGCTGTAAAAAAGTAAATTAAAAAGAAAATATTAATAAAATATTTTAAATGTTTTTAAAATAAATATTAATAACTCAATTATATTTAATTTTAAAATGTTTTTAACTTTTAAACTTTTTTAATTTTATTTTTTTTTTAAATAAATATTTAAATATTTTGAAAATTTCAAATATCTTATATTTACATAATATAAAAAATATTTCTGTATTCTTTTCTTTTATTCTCCTTCCTTGAAATCAGTTCAGTGACCCAAAACTGAGCAGATTCAGGGAATTTTTGCTGTTGCTGTCTCACCTGCAGATTCTCCGTCATCCCAAAAAAGCTCCCCCGTTGCCTCCTGGTTCTCATCCAGTGCCACGATGAGCCCCATGGGATTCCTGCGGCTGGAAAACAGGGGACAAGCCACAACTGTAGATAATTCATTAATTAAGAAGCCAATTAATTTTAATGAGTATTATTTATTTTATTAATTTCTGTTTATCAGGGATTCAAAACGTCCTTGTTGTCTGAATTTTTGGTGTTGGACAATTTTCTTCCATCAGGATAAAATCCTTCTAATAATGATTAAATTAATTTATCAAGGATAATTAGATAATCCCTAGGCAGGTGGAAGAAATTAATCAAGATCTGGGTAATTGGTAAAAAATGGATGAGGTTGTGGCAGGGATGGAAATTCTCAAATTTCACTATGGAAATAGTAAATATTGTGGAATGAGATGAAGATAATGATGACCATGATGATGAAGACAAAGAAGCTGATGAAAACAACGATGAAAACTAAAATGACAAAGAAGATGGAGAAGAAGAAGATGGAGAAGAAGGAGAAGAGAAAGAAGAAGACAATGAAGGAAAAGAAGAGGAAGAAAATATAGATGCAGAAGAGCAAGAGGAAGATAAGGAAGGAAAAGAAGATGAAGAGGAAGAAGAGGGAGATGAAGACAAAAACAGAGATAAAGAAGGTCAAGAAGATCAAGAAGAAAATGAAGAAGATTAAAAAGGAAAAAGAAAAAGAAGAAAAATGAAGAAGATTAAGAAGATGAAGACAAAGACAAAGATGAAAATGATAAAGATGAAAAAGACGAAGATGAAGACAAGAAGATGACAAAGATGAAAAAGATGAAAATGAAGAGGAAGAGGAGGATGACAGCTAAAGAAGATGAAGAGGCCAACAAAAAAGACAAAGTAAGACAACAACGATGAAGAAGATGAAGAAGATGAAAATTAAGATGAAAAAGAAAGATGAAGATGGAAGAGGAGGAAGAGAAGAACAGCAAGAAGACAATGAAGAAGAAAAAAATGAAGAAGACAAAGACATTGAAGAAAAAGGTGACAGAAGATGAAGATGAAAAACATGAAGAAGATGAGGAAGTGGAAGAGGAAGAAGACAAAAGAAAAGAGGAACACAAAAAGGGCAAAGATAAAAAGGAAGATGAAGGCAAGAAAGAAGACAAAGATAAAGAAGATGAAGATCAGGAAGATGATGAAGAAGAAGGAGACAAAAAAAAGAGGAAGATGAAGACAAAAATGATGAAGATTGACAATGACAAGAAGAAAAGAAGAAGAAGAAAACTAAGATGAAGAAGAAGAAAACAGAACAAGAAGAAGAACAGCAATGTGAAAATGAAGAAGAAGCTGATGAAGAAGACAAAGATGGAGAAATAATAATCATCATCATTATCGTCATTGTCCACCTTCATCCTCATTTCTGCCCAACCCCTCGGCCCCACCCCTGCTGGTGTTACCTGGCAGCTGTGGTGGTGGCCGGGTGCTGCACAGGGAAGATGTGGCCCCCGCGCAGGTGCAGCCCCAGCTTATCTGCAGGCAGGTACAGGTGAGTCCACTGCTTCCGCATCCACAGCCTGGAGCCCTGGAACACCAGGGATGACCGGGGGGGAGGAATGGGTGAAAAGCAGGGGGGGAGGAGGTAGAGGAGGAGGAGGAGGAGGAGGAACAGAAGGAAAGGGAGAAACAGGAAGAGAGGAAGAGGAAGAAGAAGAAGACATGGAGGGAAAAAGCAGAGGAAGAGGAGGATGAAGAAGAGGAAGAGCAAAAGTAAAAAGGAAGGAGACGAGAAAGAAGAGAAGGAGGAGGAGGAAGAGGAGAAGGAGGTAGTGGAGGAGGAAGAAGAAGAGAAGGAGAAGAAGAAAGGAGGAAAATGAAAAGAAAAAAGGAGGAGGAAAAAGAACAGGAGAAGCAGCAGGAAGAAGAGGGGGAAGGAGAAAAGAAGAAAAAAGGGGAGGGGAAGGAGGAAGAAAAGGAAGAAGAAAAGGAGGAGAAGATGTGGAGGAGAAAGGAGGAAGAGGAGGGGAAAGTGGAGGAGGAGGAAAGGGAGAAGGAGAAAGAAGGGGAGGAGGAGGGTAAGGAGGGGAAAGGGGAGGAGAAGGAAGAAGAGAAAAAAGGAGGAAAATGAAGATGAGTAGGAGGATCAGCAGGAGGAGGAGAAGGAAGAAGGGGAGAACAGGGAAGAGGAAGAGGAGGAAGGAGAGGAAGAGGAGAAGGATGTGGTGGAGGAAGAAAACAAGGAAGAAGGAGGAGGATGGCAAGGAGGAATGTGCGGAACACGTGGAAGAGGAGAAAGAGGAAGAAGGAAGAAGAGCAGGAGGGAAAAAAGGAGGAAGGGGAAGGGGAAGGGGAAGAGAACAGTGTTACTCATTCCTCTATTTATTTATTCAGCATTTCAGGTTTTTATCCATGTATTAAAGTAATTAAGGAATTTTAACTTCTGGACACCCTGGACTCACCGACTCGTACTCATACCAGACAGCATCGGGAATGTAAGCCGAGATCACCTCCACACCCTGCAGGTGGGGACACATGGATTATTCCAGCAACAAGCACCCAAAATTGCCTAAAATCACCAAAATTCCATCAGGATTTTGCTTCTTCAGGGTTAATTTTAAGTATCCCAAAACGTGGAGAATCATCAAATCAAGGAAGTCTAAAATACCAGAATTCAACCCAGACATCCATGCTTTGGGTTGGAAGGGCCTGAGTGTTACATCATCAAAGCCATTAATGAAAATTCACTGTATTTAACCCAAAATTGGAGTGCTCCAAGCACAAAGTCACAGAAAATTAATGGGAATCATTAAATCACCCAAATATCCCTTTTCTTGCTGATATTTCCTCTATTTATGGAATATTTGGTTCCACTCTAGGAAATCCAGAGTGATTTGCAAAGGTTTTGCGACAGAAAAAACAAAAATCCCAATTTTTTGTTGCTATGAATCACAAGAAAAGTAGGTTAAAAATCAACATTTAAGGGGAAAATGGAGAAAAAGGAGAAAATTTAATTTAAGAAAAATTGATTTAAGGAAAAATACATTGAGAAGCAAATGAATGCAGAAGTGGAAAGTTTAAATTAAAAAGCAATTTAAGGAAAAAATTAAATGTTAAAAATATGTTAAGTAGGGAAAAAGAAATAAAATTACTAACTATTAAAATTTATTATTATTCTGGGGCAGAAAATGGAATAAAAATAATTTAAGGAAAAAATTAAATGTAGGAGAAAATAATTTATGGAGAAAAATTTTTGAAATACATTAAGCAGAAAATGAAATTTTGAAAGTATTTAGGAAAGGACTAAATATAAAAAATAAATTAAGGAGAAAATCAGGTTCAAAAAATAAGAATTTTTAGGAGAAAATGAAATTTAAGAAGTAATAATTTAAGGAGAAATTTATATTAAAGAAAATTGTATTTAAATAAGATTTTTAAACAATTTTTTTCCCGCTCTTCTCCAGCTTTAAAATCCAGACCAGGAGGGGGAAATTGATCCTCCCAAAGTCAGGGAATTACAATTTAAAACTGGAGAGAAACCCCAGATTCGAGAGAATAAAGGACCAATAAATTCAGTTTTGGGTTTTCTTGCAGTAATTCCCAGTGCAAATTGGGGGAATTCCACCTACAGGCTCGAGCACAGGGGTGATGAGGAGCCCTGGACCCCACAGGAACTGCCCATTCACGTCCCATGTGGCCTCCTCAGCGTAAAACCTGGGCCGGCAGCAAAGCAGAGTTGTTAGCAGCATTAATTAACTAAGTGGGTAATTAATTGCATGTTAATTAAGGCTAATTCATGCTGTTTTAACCCTTCAAGATCTCAGATGTTTAAAATGCACTGTATCCCAGAATTGTTTCAGATGGAGGCAATGTAGAGCAAATTCAGCTCGTTAATGATGCATTAATTATGCAAATGAGTCTGGGGCTGGCATGCATTACCCTGGGAAGGGATCACCCTCACCTGGCCAAACTCTCCTCTCAGGGGGTTCTGGGGAGGGATGGGCCTCATTTTCTCCAGGGTGAACTAGGTGAACGTCAAGGTCAAAGTCAAGGTCAAAGTCAAGATCAAAATCCAAATCAAAATCAAGATTAAGACAGCAGTCAAGATGCAAGTCAAGACCAAGATCCAACTCAAGATTAGGACCTGTAGGAGTTAGAGGTACAGAGTGTGTGCCCTTATGTTTGATACCTGGATCTGACATCTACGAAAGCCCTGAATTTCATATAACACCATGAAAACAACTGTTAAAGTTAAATAGAAAAACTAGGAGTGCAAGAGTGTAAATTAGAAAATTTTCTTAAGTCACTGAATGAAAAAGTTAAAGTTTAGAGTTTAAGATAGTTTAGAGAACAAAAGACATGATGGAAGATTTAAGGTGTTGTCTCTTCTTCCTACTTCCTTCTTCATCTTCTTCTAAAGGTTTTTGGGTAGTAGTAAGTGACTGGATAGAGAATGCTGCAGTGCAGCACACAGGTGTTGGGTCATTGGATCACTAAGAAAAATAATTTACTTAGCATTTGTTAAATGGATAAATGAACATATAAAAGACCTTGGGAAAGTTCTTTGTTAGCCATTTTGCACCTTTCTATCTTGGTGCACGTAGCTTCTTGTACCCTGAATACATGTAATGCAGATAAAAGAAGAATAAACAACCAAGTCCAAACAAGAGAAAACTGCCTCTCTCTCATCAGTCTCAGTCTGAGGGGGAAACAGAGCTCAACCAAAAGTGGGTCAGGACAAGGACCCAAATCAAGGCCAAGTTCAAGACCCAGCCAAGATCAAGATCAAGACCAAATCAAGGTTGAGATCCAAATCAAGGTCCAAGTCAAGGTCATGGTCTTAGTCAAGATCAAGATCCAAGTCAAGTCCAAGATCAAGTTTGAAATCATAAACCAAGTCTAGGTCAGGATCCAAAACAAGATCAAGGTCAAGACTCAAGTCAAGACCAAGATCAAGATCTAAGTCAAGATCAGGATTCAGATCCAAGTCAAGATCCAAATCAAGATCCAGATTGTAATAAATAGAGACCCTTTTGTTCGCCTAAACATGTAAGATACGATGCTTTGCAAAACTATGCTTTGTGTAATAGGGATGAGTTTGAAGGCTGCTGCTGACGTCTGTATAATTATGAGAACAGCCTTGCAAGCTCTCTTGAATTCCAGAAAGTTAAGCCACTCAGATAAGCCTTAAAAGGAGAACAGTGAGGAAAGGTCAAAAGAGGAAGACTCCTGATCTTCATCCTACGACCACCAGAAGGCAAAAAGCGACCACCAGTGACCGGAGGCACATGCGCAGAGACACCCGAGAAAGGACACGTAACCCGGAAGTCGGACCACTTAAAAGGGAAGACACGGAAATCAGACGTGCGGCAGCCGAAGGAGTAGAGACTCCCCTGCCGCCCAGCGCTGATTTTTTGCTTATTGCTTGCTTGCTGTAATTAATAAAATTTTTACCATATCACTCTCTTGAGTGCGTTCATAACACAGATCAAGATCCAAGTCAAGATGTAAGTCAAGATGAGGATCAAGATCCAAGTCAAGATCAAGTTCAAAATCAAAAACCCAGTCAAAATCAGAATCTAAATGAAGATCAAGGTTAACCCAAGTCAAGACCAAGACCAAGATCAAGATCAAGATCAAGATCAAGATCAAGACCAAGTCAAGATCAAGATCCAAGTCAATATCTAAGGTAAGCTCAAGATCAAGACCAAATCAAGTTCAAGATCAAGACCAAATCAAGTTCAAGCTCAATATCCAAGTCAAGATCAGGATCCAAGTCAAGACCAAGATTAAGATCTAAGTCACGCTCAAGATCCAAGACCAAGATTCAAGTCAAGATCCAAGACAAGGTCAAGATCAAGATTCAAGTCAAGGTCAAGGTGCATTCCCAGGTGCATTCCCAGCTGGACTCACTCATGCAGCAGTGGTCGAGCCACGGTATCTCCACGGGTGTGGGCACGGTAGAACAGTGAATACAGGTAGGGCAACAGGTGGTACCGGATGCTCAGGTAGTGTCGGGATGAGTTCACCAGCACCGAGTTGGCACCGAATGCAGCTGGATCCTGTGGCTGCAGCCGAGACAGGGATTTTACTTTTTTTTCTGTTTGTTTCTTTGTTTGGGGCTTTTAAAATTATTTTAATTTTAATTTTTTAAAAAAATAATTTTGCTTTATTTTTTGTTTTATTTTTACTGGTTTTATTTTATTTCTTTGTTAATACTATTTTAAAATTTTAAATCTTATTTAATTTGATTTTTAATTTTTAAAAATTTTTATGTTATTTTGTTTGAGGTTTTTTACCATTTATAATTTAATTTAATTTAATTTAGTTAATTTAATTTAATTTTAATTTATGACCGCTGACAATAATTTAAAAATTTAACTATGCCAAACCTTCCCCTGCCATCCATAAACACCCTTGGGAGCCCAAATTACCCAAATTTTGGACCCATCAGCATAGAAATTTAATTCCCAAAACTGAAGTTTTGGGGAATTCTCTCACTGTGCTGCTTTCGTGGTTGTGGTTCCTGGCTAAGGGATAAAAGGCCCCAAGCTGCATCCAGCGCCGGCAAAGTTCCTCCGGAGCTGCCCCCAAGGACCCACAGATGGCAGCCCCCACCTGCCATGGAGAGAAAAATTGAAATAGAAATTTAAATTAAAACTGAAATTAAAAGTGAAATTGAAGTGGAATGTTAAACTGAAATTAAACTTGAAGTTGAAAATGAAATTAAAGTAGAAATCAAAGTTGAAATTGAAATTAAAATTAGAGTGAAATTTAAATTGAAAGTGAAGTTGCAATTAAAATTAAATTGAAGTTGGACTTAAAATTGAGGTATAAATTGAAATTATATTGGAGTTGAAATGGAAATTGAAATTAAAACTGAAATTGAAAGTAATCACAGTAGACATAGAAGCTGAGATTGAAATTGAAGTTGCAGTTAAAATGGAAATTGAAATTAAAGTTAAAATTGAGTTTTAAGTAGAAGTTAAAAGAAAAGCAGGATATTTTTGTTGCCCAGCTTGTTATGGCCCAAATTGCTACCAAAACTCAAATTAGATTTCCCAAATCTCTGAGATTCAGACCCAAAATTTTCCTGTTCCATTTTCCTCTTAAATATTCACATCAGTTTTTTATTTCTTGTCCATCTGCACTTTCAGAATCCCCCAATCCCTCCTGACTTAGCTGCAATTATTTAGTTCAGGTTTTTATGGATTCTTCCCATTTTTCTATAATTATTGATTTCAGATTTTTTTGGTATCTCTGAGCAGATTTTCCCTGTTTCTCCATAATTACTTCATTTGCTTTTTTCCTGGGATTCCAGTGTGGATTCTCCCTGCTTCTCTATGATTATCAAATTCAGGGTTTTTTGGCATTTCCGGACATATTTTCCCAAATTCATGCAGATATTTTTGGGATTTCCAGGCGGATTTCCCCAGTTTCTCTCTAATTATTGAATTTAGGTTTTTTTCTGGGATTTCCAGATGGATTTTCCCCCATTTTTCTCTAATTATTTGTTTATGTTTTTTCTGGATTTCCCCCTATTTTTGTATAATTATTTAATTCAGGTTTTTCCTTGGATTTCTGGGTGGATTTACCCCATTTCTCTCTAATAATTATCAAATTCCAGTTTTTCTGGATTTCCCTCCATTTTTGTATTATTTAATTCAGATTTTTTTTCTGGGGTTTCTGGGCAGCTTTTCCTGGGATTTTTGCAGACTTTCTATTTCTTTCTAATTATTTAATTTGTGTTTTTGGGATTGCTGGGTGGATTTTCCCCACTTCTCTCTAATGACTTAATCCAGATTTTTCCTGGCATTTCCTTGCACATTTTTTTCCTGTTTTTGCCCTGATAACTCACATAGGGGATCCCAAAGAGGCCAAATTCCAGCAGAGCAGGGGTAGCCCATCGCAGATGGTCCCAGGTGGCTGCATTGTTCCCGAGCCAGTGGCCACCGAGGCGTCCGGAGCCCGCAAAGGTTGAGCCAGACACCAGGAAGCTGCGGCGCCCTGGGGACAGCCGGCCTAGAGCCCTGGGGTGAAAAATGGGGGAAAATGGGGGGAAAAAAATTAAAGTGAGACTTAAAAAAACAAAAGAGATTGAAATGGAATAGTGGGATAAAATAATGGACTAAAATGAGATTAAAATACAACAATGAAATAAAGGAGTGAAATAAAATAATGAAATTAAATAAAATAATGGATTAAAATGAGATTAAAAAGGAGATTGAAATGAAACAATGGAATGAAAGAATCGAGTAACAACAAAATAAAAGAATGGAAAAATAGAATGGAATAAAATAGTGGAATAAAATGAGATTAGAAAAGGACATTGAAATTAAGTAATAGAATAAAATAATGGAATAAGGTAATGAAAGAAAATAACAAAAAATGGAATAAAATAATGGAATAAAATAATGAAATGAAATGAGTTTAGAGGAGCTAAAATAAGAAATTCAAATCACAAAACGGCAAAATGAGATAAAATGAGTTTAAAAAAGAGATAAAATAAATTATAACAAAATAATGAAATAAAATGAAATTTTAAAAAAAGGGAAATAAGATAATGGAATAAGATAACAACACAAAGTAAGAACATCAATGAATAAAAGTAATGAAATAAGATGGCTTTGAAAAAGAGATAATAAAATAAAATTATCTTAAAAGAGGAGATAATAAAAGAGTGGAATAAAATAATGAAATTAATTAATGGAATAAAATGAGCTTTAAAAATAGATAAAATAAGCTAAGAAAATAAAATTAGCTTATAAAAAGGAGATAAAATAATATAATAAAATAAAATAATGGAATAAAATAATTTACCTTAAAAAATAAAAATAAAATATAAATTACCTTAAAAAAGGGAGAAAATAAAATGATAAAACAGAATAATGAAATGAGATTAAAAACCAAAAAATAATAATAAGAATAAAATAATGGAAGGGAAAGGGAAAGAAAAGGAAATGGGAAATAGAAGGGGAAGGAGAAGGGAAGGGGAAGGGGAAAAGGAAGGGAAACAGGGGATGGAAGGGGAAGGGAAGACAAAGGTGAATGGGAAGGGAAAAGGGAATTCTCACCGGAGCGTTGCCAGTGCCATGGAGTGGCCGTACAGGCTGTGCACGTCATACTGCCGGCCCCAGGACTGGACAGCATCCAGGCAGAGTGACCGTCTGAAGAGCGGCCAGTCAGCCACACCTGCGAGGGGACATGGGAATTGGAGAGAAATGGATTAAAATTGTATGTTATGTATTGTTGATATATGTATGTATGTGGGTTATATAAGTTACAACATTATTACTATTAATTTTAAATAGAATTTTAAAAATTGTTTATTATTTTTCTCTTTCATTTTCTGCTTCTATTTCTACTACTTCTAATTCTATTTTTGCTTATACTTTTACTTCTTTTTTTTTATTGTCATTATCATTATTATAATTTCCATCATCATAATAATGACAATAATTATTATCATTATTATAATTATTTTCATTATAATCATTATAATTGCATTACCATTTTCATTATCATAATCATCTTTATTATTACTATCATTATTACTTATTATATATTATTCCTAATTAATATATGTATATCAATTATGTCTATTACACATTAATTATATACAATATATAAAAAGACACACTAAATGTATTCAATCTTTATTACATTCTAGTTATTTATAATTAAATAACTTCACAAAATAAATGAATAATTATATTAATAAAATTTATATTAGACACATTATTTATGGTATATATGTATTGATTTATATGTATTAATATTATTTTAATGTATACAAATGTATACATTTATATTTTAATTATATAGGACTTATATGTGTTATTTAAGTTATACAATTATTTTATTGCTATTCATACATATTAGAGATCATTACAGATTATTACATATTCTGTAAGTAAGTTATGTATGGTCTATGAAAATTAGATACATTTAATATATTCAATATTTACTTCATTCAATATTTATTGTTTAAAGATAAAATTCCATAATTTCAGAAAAAAAATTATATCTATACAACCTGTATAAAAGTATATGCATTTATATGACATAACAAAAGTATTATTTTCATTTATATAAAGGTATAAGTTATTTTTTAATTGTACATTATTCATATATGCTATATAAGTTATTATCACATTGTTATATTAACTTATTACATATTCTTCTGTGCATAAATTATGTTATATAAAAACTAGATACATTCATTTATTCAATATTCATTATTTATAGATAAAATGACAATGTCATGAAATGAAATAATTACATAATAATTATATTCATAAAAACAATATATAAATCTCTATTATATATTAATTAATAAAATATTATTTAAATGCATACAAATGGTCGAATTACATTTAAATTATATAGGGTTTGTATGTGTAATATGCTATTCTTTTATTGTTATACATATATTGATGACATACAATATATTTATATATGATATTCTATTATTATCTATTGCTGCATATGTAAATGATATATGTTGCACATATATATGTTCCATATTAATGATATAGATTCTATATATTGAGATTATTAATTATATTTATTATATTTTATATATAATAGATATAAATGTTTATTATAGGTAAAATTTTGCAATTTTGCAAAATGTGTATGTAATTATATCTATAAAATTTAAGTATAAATCCATACATTTGTACAGTTATTAAAGTATTTGAATATAAACAAAGGCATAGAATTAGATTAGAAGTCTATAGGATTTATGTGTTGTATAAGTTATAAAATAAAATGATATTGTTATACAAATATATTAACATATTATAAATAATAATTTACAAATTATATGCAAGAATAAAACAAAAAAATTATAATATTTATATGTATTAGAACAAAATAAAATATTAGAAATAACTAAAAAATCGATAAATAAGAAAACAGATAAAATAAAATAAATATATTAATATGAATAAATATAAATACAAGGGGACTATTTTGATGTTTATCTTTATAAAGTATTTGCCACTATAACTTATTAACAAATAGATTACAACCACATTTATGGAGTGGAAACATGAGATTTTCTTCTTGGCCCTGATAATTACTGAAAATAACCACTTCATTTTAAAATGTGGCATAAATAAATAAAATAAACATTGAAAGATAAAAGTAAATATGAACATAAATGTAGACAATATATTAAATTAAAATAAAAATAAAAAATAAACTTAAAAGTGAACATAAAAATTAATGAAAAATAAATAAAAAATAAACATTCTCCCTGAGTGATAATTATTGAAAATAAATGGATCTTAAAATTGAGCATCAATAAATAAAAATAAAAAAAAATAAACATTGATTCATAAACATAAATGTAAATCTAAACAATATATAAAAATGAAAATAAAAATTAAAATTAAACATAAAAAACATAAAAATAAACATAAAAACAAATATAAAAATAAAAGAAACCTTAAAAATATTAAAATAGATAAACCAAAACAGAAACAAATATATACATCAAACACAAAACCCCCATAAATGCAAACAAAAAAAATCACAGAATTAAACATTAAGATAAACAAATAATAAACAATAAATATAAAAATAAACATGAAAATTAAAAATAGAAAAGTAAAGATTGAAATAAGAATAAAAATTCCATATTCCCAGTGAATTTTCCATGTTCCCACTGATTTTGGGGGATTTTCTCTTACGGGGGGTGTAGGGGGGAAAGTTCCATGTGCTGTCAGTGCAGCCTCTGGTGGAGCCAGGGATGAAGCATGCAGCCTCGTTCATGTCCTGGAAAATCACAGAATCCAACTTAAAACCAAAATTGGAATATTGAAATATTTTAATATTTTAATATTTAATGGCAAATCCTCATGGGTTTTTTGCCTAATTAAATTGGAATTTTGAGGTGAAATATGGAATTTAATTAAAATTAATGAGGAGATAAAATTCCCCTGCTTGCAAGAAGTATTGAAGAAATAATGGTAACAATAGTAATAATAGTAGTATTAATATAAATATTAATATGAAATATTAATAAATGTTGCGATTGTATAATTATATTGTGTATAATTATTATAGTTTACCTATACTTTAATATCATTTATGTAGTAAAAAAGCATAAATAATGTAATAACTAATATAACGGGTATTATTTCAATATCACTAATAAAATTATTATATTATAGACTTATAATATTATAACTACATTATCATCACATTATCATCATATTATATTAGTATAAAAGAAATTATATTAAGCATTATCCTATTATTTACACCATATATGGTAACAAATGACAAATGTATGTACTGTTTCTTAATATAAAAAATGTATTGATATAAATAGTAACACAATAGACATTATATTTGTATTGACATTAAAATTAATAATTAATAATATAATAGACATAATTTTATTATTATAATATCGTAATAATGTAAAAGACATTACAGATATTATTTATTATATTGTATCTAATAATAAATGATAAATTGACATATAAATTATTAACACAAATTATAAGAAATATTAAATTGAATAATGTAATATCTATTATATTAATGGATATGTTAATATTAATATTTCTGTATTATGATACTATAATCCTAGGTATCAGGTTATTTATTATGCAGTATCAAAAAACCAAATCATTAATTTCTGTATCATTTGGTAATAAAATCTCTGCATAAATAAAAAAAATCCAATAGAATGTCTACCTTATTACATTATAATCCATATTTTATTAGATGTTATACTGTTTATAATAATAAATTTTAAATTTATATATAATTTATTAATACAAATTCTGTATAAATAGTAAAATAATATACTACTATTAAATATAATTAAATCCATTACCTAATGTCTAATTTTATTAATATTATTGGAATTTTATTTAATATTTAATAGCTTACATTAGTATTAAATACATTATAAGTATGAAATTTAATATTAATAACAATTATTTTGATTTTATTAATTAATTATAACAATAGTTTAATGGTAATATTAATTATTGTTGTTTTATTAATTAATATTCATAATTATAAAAGTATTGATATAAATATTAATATTTTTTTGTAATTGTGGTTGCAGGCACTTTTCAGAAAGATTAAATTTCCTCAAATTCCCTTTTTCTGACAGAATCCAGCATCTGTTTCCATTAAAACAATTAAAAATTATATATAAATTTTGGGGTTGGCTCACGATCCAGATGCCGTCGTAGGGGATGAGCTCATGGAATCTTTGGAATTCCTGCTCCCACCACTCCACACACACGGGGTTGGAGAAATCTGGGAAAACCACCTGGCCTGGCCGTGCCTGGGTGAAAAAAACACCTGATTGGTTAAAATCGGGATTTTGGCACAGGGGAAAAACAGGAATTTTCATGCTTCCAGTGGGTTTGGGGATTTGGGGCCTTGGAGGGATAGAAAAAAAATTAACAAAAAATAAAATCTAAAATATAAAATAAATGAATCAAAATAAATCAAAATTTTGTTTAAAAAAATAGAATTAAAAATCAAATTTAAATATTGAAAAATTAAAGATTAAAAATAAATTGAAATATATTTATGAAAAATAGAAAATAAAATAAAAAATTCAAAATAAGTAAAACTAATTAAAAAAACTTTAAAAATTTAAGTAAAGTACAAAAAATAAAAAATAAAAATAAAAATAAATCAAAATTATGTTGAAAAATAAAATTGAAACTCAAAATATTGAAAAATCAAGAAATTGGAACATGTCAAAACTGATGTTTAAAAATTAAAAAATTCAAACTAAGTAATTACCTCTCCCATCAGTGTCATTGGCCATCAGTTAATGAATTACCTCTCCAATTAGCATATGGGGAATTAATTCATTCCCTCTTCAATTCAGAGGTGGGGCTCTTAATTCGCTCTCCAATTAACACCAGGGCTAATTATTAATTACCTCTCCAACTGGCTATGGGGGCTATTAATTCCTTCTCTTGTCAGTGTTTGGGGCCATTAATTAATGAATTATCTCTCAAATTAGTTGTGTGGGCTAGTAATTAATTATTTACCACCCCAAGTAGTAGCTGGGGCTAATAATTCCATCTCCCACCAGCACCAGAGGCTATTAAGTAATGAATTACCTTTACAATTAACACCAGGGGCTATAATTCCCTTTCCAACTAAAATCAGGGGCAATTAATTCCTACATCAATTAGAATCAGAGACTACTAATTAGTTTTCTCTCCAATCAGCACTGAGGCCGTTAATTACTTCAGTCTTCAATTACCACCAGGGGCTATTAATTAATGAATTCCCTCTCCCTTTAGAATCAGTGGTTATTAAGTAATTCCCTCTCCTATGAGCATCAGGGGCTATTAATTAATTCCCTCTCAAATTCGCTTTGGGGGCTATGAATTCCCTCTTCCATTAGTGTTTGGGGCCATTAATGTATGAATTACCTCTCCAATTGTCATTGTGGGCTATTAATGAATGAATTACTTTCCCAGTTAGCATCAGGAGCTATTAATTAATTGCCTTCCCAATTAGTGGCAGGGGCTATTGATTAATTTCCTCTCCAATTCACATGTAGGGCTATTAATTCCCTCTCCAATTAACACCAGAAGTGATTAATTACCTTTCCAGTTAGAGTCAGTGGTTATTAATTAATTCACTCTCCCCGGAGAGGCTACTAATTATTAAGCTGGAGGCTATCAATTATTAAATTCCCATTACAATTAATATCAGAGGATATTAATTCTCTCTCCAGTTAACTTCACAAGCCATTAATTAATTACCTCCCCAATTAGCGGTGTGACGCCATCAGACTCGTTGACCCACACCCGTTTCTCCTGGCCTCTCTCGAAGGTCCTGTAGGGGCTCCCGTCTGCCATTGGCTCCATGGCGATGGCAGCATCCTAAACCCACCAAAAATGGGGAAAAACCTCTGATTTCCGCATTCCCCAAAAAATGATGGGAAATGGGAAAAATCCCTCACCAGGACAATGACGAATTTCTGCTCAGCGGCACTCAGGAATTTGCGGAAATTGGGAAGATCGTGGAATTTGATTTTGTCGTAGGTGAAATCCTTGCACCCGTCCATGGCATCGATGTCAGTGTACTGCACATCCTGGGGACATGGATTTGGGGTAAAATTCCTTGAACAACACTGGATTTGGGAACATTTAAGTTTTTAAAATTCTTTTCTACCATAAAATTGGAGTTGAGGGCAGAGGATTTTCCGAAGTTTGCGGGATTATGGAAATGGGATTTTGGGGATGGGGATGGAGCTCATTTTTGTGGGAAATTAAGGGAAATTATTTGGGAATAATTTGGGAATTAAGAAATGAATGGGGAGAAATCAAAATGGGGAAACCACTACTAGAAAAATGGGGGAAGATGTAAAATAATTTGGAGTCTTTTATGTAGCATATGGATTATATAATCAATATAAATATTATATTATATTAAATAATAAAATATAAATTTAATAAATTTTAATATTATTAAAAATTTGCATTTAATAATAGTATTAAATATAAAATGTGTATTAATTATAGAAAATATAAATTATATTTTAATTATATTAAATGTAGGATATAGAATATAGGTGTATAATGTGGATTATATGGAATACAGAATAAATGATAGAGAATAAATATAGACTATATTATAGATATCCTATAGAATACAGAATATTATATAATATACGTTATACAGATTATAAAGGAAACATAAAATTCAGAACAGAGAATATATGTTATATAAGAAATAATATATAGAATGTAGACTATAGATTTAATATGAAATCATTGTATAATATTGACATAGACTACAGGCATATATATGTTATATATTATTTGTGAAATAAAATATGGAATATGGACTTTATTATATCGGATTCAGAAGTTAAAAATTTGGCACATTATATTTAGATATTCTGTAGAGTACAGAATAAATAATAAACCCATATAGAATAAAATATATATATATAATGCAGAATAAAGACTAAATATGGGATATGGCGTTATTATAGAATAAAATATATAGAATATGCCAATTTGTGATTTCTTAAATAGACAAATACATATGATATATAAATACAAAATATAAAAATAATTAATGCAATACCAAATGTAAAAATAAAATTTAATAGTGGATAATAATAATGGATAATAGTGGGGAATAATAATAGTAATAATAATAGTAATAAAATAATAAATAACAATAAAAATTATAATGAAAATAAAAATGAAATATTAATAATAAATATTTGAGTAGTGTTTTGACTCACATAGGGCAGCCCAATTGCCCGGTTCCGCTCCACCACAGCCTTCACCTCATCCAGGGATCCGTAACTGCGGTGGCTGAGCTGGAATCCCAGTGCCCAATACGGTGGGAGGGCGGGCAGCCCAATAAACTGGGAATTAGATATCAAAATTACTCACTTCCCTGAAATTCCCTGATTTCAATCCAAGTCTGGGAGGTGTCAGCCCAATAAACTGGTAATTTGACCCAAAATTTCCTCATATCCTTGAAATCCCAACATTCCAACCCAAACCTGGGCAGTTGCTGGCTGATAAACTGTTAATTCAACCCCAAAACACCTCACATTCCCAAAATTCCCCATTTCACTTCAAATTTCAGAAGTGACAGCCTGATAGACTGGGAATTCAATCCCAAAACACCTCAGACTTCCGAAATCCCAACATTCTGACCCAAATCCAGGAGGCGGTGGCACCAGCAGCTTAAATAAACTGGGAATTTGACCTAAAAACTCCTCATACTCCTGAATTTCGCTGATTTCACCTCAAATTTGGGTGGTGGCAGCCTGAAAAATTGGGAATTCTATTGGAGTCTGAGATATAGAGTGTGTGCCCTTGTTTCTAATACTTAGTTCTAGGATTCAAAGAAACACTGAATTTCATATAACATGAAATTCATGAGCATGTTTTCATGGTGATACATGAAAACAAATGTTAAAGTTAGATAGGAAAAGTCTAAGTGTGTTGACTAGAAAGTTCTTTAAATCACTGGGTGAAAAAGTAGTTTAGAGAACAGGAGACAAGATGGAGGATTTAGGGTGCTGTCTCTTGCCCTTCTTTCTTCTTCATGTTCTTCTCCTCGGGGTTTTTGGGTAGTAGTAAGTGATTGGATAGAAAATGCCGCAGTGCAGCACACAGGTGTTGGGTCATTGGGTCACTAAGAAAAATAATTGAGTTGGCATCTGTTAATTGGGTAAATGGACATATAAAAGACCTTGAAGAGGATCTTTGTTAGCCATTTTACCCTTTTCTATCATAGTGCACATAGCTCCTTGTTCCTTGTAATGCTGATAAGAAAAGAACAAACAACTGAGACCGAATGAGAGAAAACTGCCTCCCTCTCATCAACCTTCAGTTCAAAGGGAAAAAGAACTTAATCTAAAAGTCCCTAATGAGACAGAATTCAACCTGAAACCACCCCACATTCCTCAAATCCCCCAAATTCTCCCCAGATCTGCACCTGTACATATTCCTGCACCACCTGCTCGGGTGTGTCCCCCAAAAAGATGTAAAAATCCAAGATTCCTCCAATTGTCCGGAAAGTGACGGCGGGAGCCGGAGTCAGTGCCACCTCTACCGGCACAAAAACAGAAGAATATGCCTTTTGCAGTCAGAGAGGCACAGAGAGTGTGCCCTTATCTCCAATACCTGGCTCTGACTTCCAAGAAAGCACTGAATTTCATATAACACCATGGAAATAACTTTTAAATAGAAAAACTAGGAGTGTGAGCGTGTTAGAGAGTTTTCTTAAGTCACGAGGTGAAAAAGGTGAAGTTTAAGGTTTAAGCCCTTTTAGAAAACAAAAGACAAGATAGAGGATTTAGGGTGTTGCCTCTTGTTTCTTTCTTCATCTTCTTCTCGAGGTTTTTGGGTAGTAATAAGTGACTGGATAGAGAATGCAGCAGTGCAGCACACAGGTGTTGGGTCATTGGATCACTAAGAAAAATAATTTACTTAGCATTTGTTAAATGGATAAATGAACATATAAAAGACCTTGGGAAAGTTCTTTGTTAGCCATTTTGCACCTTTCTATCTTGGTGCACGTAGCTCCTTGTACCCTGTATACATGTAATGCAGAGAAAAGAAGAATAAACAACCAAGTCTGAACACAAGAAACAGCCTCTGTCTCGTCACTTTCAGTCCTGGGGAAAAGAACCCAGTTACCAGTGTTGCATCAGGACATTTGCCCAAATGCCCCCAAATTTTGATGGAAATTTAAAGGCATCCCAGAATTTGAAATTTTGAATTTTTTTCAGTTTTTTTTTTTTTCCTTAAGAAATGCTGATTTTCACTCATTTATAGCCCCAAAAAGGGAAGGGGAACAAGAAGGCAGGATTTGGTCGCAATAATTTTATTTTATTAATTTTATTTAATTAATAATTAATTAATTAAATTGATGGTTTGAATTTAGTGCTTAAAGGATTAAAATATCAATGAATAAATTATCACTCAATAAATTCACTTAAATTATCACTGAATAAGATTATCACTGACTTAAATTATTTAATAAATTACCACTTAATCAAATTATCAAGTAACTAAATCTGCAATTTGAATTCAATAAATAAAATTAAATTAATTTAATCCACTCAGCCAATTAATATAATGGAAATAATTTAAATTGAATAATTTAAGTTTTTATTAATTTTATTTTAACAGAGTTAAATAATTTAAATAAAAAACTTTGTCTTAATTTTTAAATTAAGTTTTTAAATTTTAATTTCAATTAAATTCCTTCAATTAATCCATTCAGTCAATAAATGCAATAATTGAATTAAATAATTTCAATTAATTATTCAGATAATTAATTTAATAACACCCAAACACATTCACACAGATTTTAGGCCAATTCAGGGATTTTATTTCCAATTTTGGCTGAAATTTGAATTTTTTCCCCCCAAATTGTCTTGAACAGTAACAAATTATGTTTTTATATTTGATAAAAATTAAATAAATATTAAAAATTAGTATTATTTTTATATTTAGAAATACAGAGGACATTTTACTTTCATAAACATAAAAATAAATGTATTGATTTTTATATTTTTATTATGTAAACAATAATAATTTATAAATGTATAAAATTATTTAAATTTTAATAAATATATTTTATTCAAACATTAAAATTTTGTGAAAGGTAATATTTTAAAAAAGTAAACATTTTGCAAGAATTTAAAAAAATTAATATTTTCTAGAAAAATAATATTTAAATAAATATTTTATAATATTTTTAGTATTTTTGGCATTATTTGGAATTTCCTCACCCATGGCATTGCTGTTCATCAGGAAAACACCCATGGAAGCTCCAGAATTGTCTTCCAAACAGAGGAAAAATGTATGTACTCCGGCCAAGTTCTCCACACTCTGACAAAAAATGGAGAAAATCATTAAAATTAAAAAAAATAATAATTACAAACACTTCAAAAATCAACCACCATAGGGGAAACATCAAAATTATCAATTATAGCATTATCTTTTAAATTTCTGCTTTTATTTAAAATATTTTCAAGTGTTTCAAATCACCTTAAAGCAGAAAGTTGGGGAAATCTCCCCCAAAAATTGGGGATTTTGGAGAAAAAACCCCAAATTCTTCCCAATTTCACTTAATTTTTATCTAAAATAATAACAAAATAAATTTACTTTTTTTTACTTAAAAAAATAATTAAGCTTCAAAATTTAGCATAAAAAGTATTAAAAGTCCTTTCTTTAGGAACATGTCAGGTCTTCCTGCAAAATCCCCCGAAAAATTTGGATTTGGGAATGCAGAAAAAAAAAAAGGGGGTGGGAAATGAGAAGCATCAAAGGCTGATTAAAAATCTCAGATTTTCTAAGGTGATTTTAGGGGTTTTTCTTTGGAATTCAGGTTTACATTTTATCCTAACCTTTAGTTTTATATTAATTTCCATGTTGTTTTTTATTTTCAATCTTCAATTTACTTTTTATTTAATGAACTTAAATTTTATTTCAATTCTTAAATTTTATTTGCATTTTTATTTCTTTTTGAAATTGATTTTCAAAACTTTAATTTGATTAATTTAATTTTAATTTTTACAATTTTAACCTTAGTTTAATTTATGAAGTTTAGTTTTCATTTATAGATTTAATTTTTTATTTATTTTTCATTCTATATTTATTTTTCTATTTAAATTTTATTTTTATTATAATTGAAATTTAATTTTAAATAATTTTCATGAATTTTATTTTATTTCCCAATATTTTCATTTTATATCTAGTCATGTCAATTTTCCCTCCATTTCTCCTTTTTATTGATACTTGGAATTTTGTTTGCTTCACTTCCACTTGGTCTTTTCCTTTCTTCACTCCCATTTGATTTTTTCCTTTATCTCACTCCCATTTTCTTTTTAATTCTTCATTTTTGCAACATAATTGTCTAATCATCAAATTTAAACTTTAATTTTTAAAATGAAATTTGAAAAATTAAAATTTTCTGTCTTGATCTTTGACATTTTTATTTGAATTTTAAACTTTAAACTATGACTTTAAAAATTAAATACTGCATTTTTAATTTCAAATCCACTATCATTTAATGTCCAAATTTAAACTTAAATTTTAAACTAAAACTTAGATTTTTAAATTTTAATTTATTCTTTTAAGTTTCAATTGTAAGTTTTTAATTAAATTAATTAAAAATTTAAAATGAAATTTAACTTTTTAAATTTAATTTTAAACTAAATTTTAAACCTTAAACTTTAAATTTTAAATTTAACATTTCAAAAACCAATTATAAATTTTAAATTTCAAGCATTAAACTTTAACTTTTAAAATTTGAAGTTCAATCTTTAAACTTTGAACTCTAAACATTAAAATCACCATTTCATGTCAAATTTCAGTTTAAAAATTCTCACATGCCTTCCGGCTCTGCAAACAAATTCCAAACAATCCAGAAAAACCTCATTCCAATGAGAATTTCACCCATCAAAACCTTAAATTTTTGCAAATTTTTAATGGAAATAGAAATCCCAAAGGCCAAATTTGCCCCAAAAGCGGGGAGATGAGCCCAAAGCCTCACAGCAGAGGGGGCGGCGTGGCGGCTGAAGAGGGGCCAGGTTTTCCAGTGCAGATCGTGCCGGAAGCTCCGGTGGAGATGCTCCCCCAGGCCATAGACGTTGGAGCTGGGAATTCGGGTGGAAATCTGCAGGAATTGCTCGGAAAACACCAAGGGGCCGATGGTGGTGTCGAATCTGGGGTGAAAAAAATTGAAATTTGTAATGCAAAAAATTTAAAATTTAGGTATTAAGCATTTGAAACGAAGAATTGTGAAATGAAAATGAAAACAAATTAGAAAATAAAATCTAAAATTGAAAATTGAAATGTAAAATACCTCAAACATAAATATCCAATAGAAAATCTAAGATTTTAAATTTAAATTTTTGATTGTCAAATCTGAAATCTAAAATTTAAAATCTAAGACTTGAAATTTAAAATTTGAATTTTCAAGTTTAAAATAAAAAATTTGAAACTTAGATAATATTTAACTAAATGCCTAAAGCTGAAAATGTAAGATTTGAAGTTAAAATCGGGAATTTAAGGTTCAAGACAAACAAAAATAGAAAATTTTAAACTTAAACCTTAAACCTTAAAATTTAATAATTAAAACCTACCATTTAAAAGTTTAACCTTAAAATCAGAAATTTAAAACTTAAAAATTTAAAACCTAGAACTTCAAACTCAAAATTTAAAATTTTAATTTAAAATTGGAAATTAAGTTATAATTGGAGAAAATACTGTTTGGAGCAGAAAAAAATGCACAAATTTTCATTCTGTTTTTATTTATTTTCAGAAAACACTTTTGGGATCCATTTGAAAAACTTCTCTTGAAACTTTCCCTAAATGTTCTTTCAGTTTCTATTTAATTTTGAAAAATAATTCTGGGATAATTTTTAAAAAAAATTTTGTAAATTTCCTTTTAGTTTTTATTGCATTTAAAAAATTGGGACTTACTTAAAAAATCTTCCTCCAAACACAGTCCAAACTTTCCTTCAGCTTTCATTTAATGTGGGGAAAATAATATTGGAATCTGAAAATTGCTCCAATTTTCCTCCAGTTTTTATTTAATTTGGAAAAACAACTTTGGAAATTCTTTGAATGATCCTAGGAGTATATTCCCGAAACTGAAAAAAACGAAAGGAAAACTTTATCAATTTTCTAGGGAAGTTTTCAAAACAATCCCAGACTTATTTTTTCCAAATTAAATAAAAACTGCTATACTTTATGCAATTTTCAGCTCCAAATAGAATTTTTGTCTAAATTAAATAAAAAAATTGATGCAAAATCGAAGCAATTTTCTGATCCCGACATTAATTCCCCAAAATTAAATAAAACCAAAGCAAAATTTAAGGAATTTTTAAATCCCAAAATAATTTTTCCTGAATTAAATAAACCAAAGGAAAAATTAAGGCATGTGTTGGTGGTTTAAAAAACTCTAATTTTCTAAATTAAAAAAAAAGAAAATTAAATTAATTTCCAAGTTAAATAAAAACTGAAGAAAAATTTGGAAATTTTCTAAGAAACTTTTTCAAAAGTGATCCCAAATTTTTTTTTCTAAATTAAAGAAAAACCACGAAAAATTCATTTTTCATATTCCAACTTTATTTCCCAAAATTAAATATTTTTAAATGAAATTTAAAATAATTTTCTAACATTTAAAAAAATCCCAGAATTAATTTTTCCAAATTCAATAAAAATTGAAGGAAAATTTAATCAATTTTTAGATCCCCAAAAATACTTTCCCCAAATTAAATTGAAGTCTAATTAATGGAAAATTAAGACAAATTTCCAGGGTTTCAAGTAGATCCCAGCATTGGATTTTTCCAATTTAAATAAAATTAAAATTAAAAATAAATCAGTTACCAAAGAAAATGAAATAAAAACTTAAAATTAAAAAGGAAAATTAAAGGAATTTCCAAATCTGAAAATTCTTTTCCCCAAATTAACTAAAAAACAAAGGAGAATTCAATAAATTTTTTAGTATTTCAAAGAAATCCTGATATTTATCCCAGATTAATTTGGAATTTCCCAGCATTTATCCCAGATTAATTCAGAATTGTCCCATTGGCTCAGCCCTTCCTGATGACAAATTTGCCTTTTTAGGGAGCAAAAAAGCCCCCCCAAAAAGCAGGGAAAAGGACAATTTAACGATTAAAGCTTATAAATCCAGCCCAAGGCAGGAATTTTTTGAGGCAAAACCTGGGAAATTTGCTCACATGACTTTGCCGGTGCTGGCTCGGATAACCTGGATCCCAAAGGGATTTTCCTGGAATTTCAGCAGATATTTGGGGTCAGAGGCAGCGGGGCCAGAAAAGGGCCCAATGTGGTCGTGGGGGACCTCAAACTGCTGCTTTTCGGGGTCGGTGAACTGCAGAAAAAAGGGGAAAAACGGGAATTTGGGGATTATCTTTTGGGGGTGGAAATGATAGGTTTTGAGATTGGAAATTTGGGCTCAGAGGGGTGGGGATAAAAGAAATGGGAAAAAAGGGATATAAAGGGGGAAAAGGAAAAGGGAGAAAAGGAAATTAACTAATTGGAGAATATAAAAGGAAAAGGGGGAAAAAGGGGAAATAAAAACGGGAAAAGGAAAATAAAATGGAAATAAAAAAGGAAAAAGGAAAGAAATTTTAAAAAGGGGGAAGGGAACATTAATAAATGAAAAGAGAAGAGAAGAAGAAATTTGGGAAAATTTAAAATAAGGAAATATAAGTGAAATTGAAGTGGAAAAAGGGAAATAAAGAGGAAATAAGAAAAGGAAAAGGGAAAAAAAATAAAATTTAAAAGGGGGGAAATTGGAAATTGAAGAAGGAAAAAATTGGAAAGGGGAAATAACAGGGAAATAAAAAACGGAAAAGGGAGAAAGGAGGAGAAATGAAAAACTGGGAAATTAAAAAAGGAAAAGGAGAAAAGGAAAAAATCAAAATAAATAAAGGAAACTCCATTTCCTTTTCAAAGGAAAATAAAGGTGACAGAAAAAAGGAAAAGGGAAAAAAAGAAAAAAAATTTTAAAAGGAAAATAAACAGAAATGAATAAAGGGTAAAACGGGAAAGAAATTAAATAAATGAAGGGAGAATAAAGGGAAAATAACAAAAGGAAAGGGGAGAAAAGGAAAAGAAGTAATTTTAAAAGGGAAAAAAATTGAGAAAAAATAGAAGTAGAAAGGAAAAAAGGAGGAAAAAGGAAGGAAAGAGGGGAAAAGGAGGCAGTAAATAAAGGGAGAAAAATAAGGGGGAAAGGGAGAAAAATGCAAAAAAGAAGAAAAAAGGGAGGGAAAAGAAGGAAGAGGAAAAATGGATGGAGAAGAGGGAAAAAGAGGGCGGAGGGAGTAAAAAGGGTTAATTTTAAAAGGAGGAAAAAAGAGGGGGAAAGGGGAGAAAAGGAAAGAAAAAAGAAAAGAAGGAAACTCAACAAAAGATAATAGAAACCAGGAAAAAAACCCAAGAAACGGATTAAAAGGTGACACGATCTAAAAAAAAAAAAGAAAAAAAAAAGTAAAAAGAAAGAAAAAAAAAAGTAGGAAAATATTTTTATATATCCACGGAAAGAAGAAAGGGAGGTAAAGGGAAAATTAAATTTTTAAAAAAGAGGAGGAAAGAAAGAAGAAGAAAAAAGGAAAAAGAAACCCAGGAAAACTCAAAATAGAAAGGGAAATCAAAATCAAAATGGGAAAGGGGGCGTGAGAAAAAAGCGGAAAGGAAAGCTTTAAAAAGATATAAAAATATTTGAAAATGAAAAATTAAATGGGAAAAAGCAAAAAGCAGGGAAAAAGGGAATAGGAAAAGCAGAAAAAGGGGGGAAAGGGGGAAAAAATAAAGGAAATAAGGGGAAAAGGAATAAAGAAAAAATATAAAGAGAAAAAATAGTTAGACAAAATTGAGAGAGAAAAAAGGAAAAAGTATGAAAACCCCACCAAAAAACCCAAAACACTATATTCGAAGACAGTGAAGAGCCAAATTTAAACAAATCCCAATCTGTGCCACCCCAAATCCCGGGATTTTCCAGTATTTCCCCAACCCCTGTGCCCCAAGCCCTGAATTTCCCACAAACCACAAAGTGATTGGAATGCGCTGCGCGGAAAACACGCCCAGACTGGGGAATTTCCACGGAATTTTCCCTTTTCCCAGGCAGTTTCCCCCGGGCTGCACCTGCAGGCGGAGCCGCGCGGAGCTCTGGAACTGCGCCCGGAGCCGCACGAGGTCCGCGGCTGCCCCGAAGAGTGACGGGGACGGGAGCCGGCGCAGGAGCACCTCGAGGCCTGCGGGAATCGGCAATTTCAGAGAATTGGAATCCATCCCATCCCATCCCATCCCATCCCATCCCATCCCATCCCATCCCATCCCATCCCATCCCATTCCATCCCATTCCTTACTCTATTTTATTTTATTCTATTTTTTCTATTTCTTATTTATTGTATTTTTTCTATTATTTACCATTTTTATTTTTAAACCTTATTTTATTTTTTAAATTTTATTTAATTTTTATTCTATTTTTATTTTAATTTTTAAATTTTATTTTATTTAAATTTTTAAACTCAATTTAATTTCATATCTTATTCTATTTTAATTTTATTATATTCTACTCATTTTTTAAATTAAATTTTTAAAGATTTCATTTCATGGTTTATTCTATTTAATTTAATTTTTGAATTTTCTTTACATTTGGTTTGATTTGATTCTATTCTATTTTATTTTTATTTTCTTTTAAAATTTTATTTTATTTTAATTATTTTATTTAAACTATTGTATTTAATTTTTATGGTATTTTATTATGATGTTAATTTTATTTTATTGAATCAAAATGAAATACAATGAAATAAAATAACATACAGCAAAGTTGTTAAGTTAAATACTGAAAAATGAAAGAAAAAATAAAGTAGAAAAAAGTAGAATACAACACAATACAATAAAACAAAACAGAACAAAATATAACAATAAAATAAAATAAAAAAATAAAATAAGGTGAAATAAAATATAATAAAAACTTAATTGAATTAAACAAAATAAAGTGAAAATAAAATGCAGCAAAATAAAATAATAAAGAACACAGCTAAATAAAGGACGATATAATAAGTAAAACTGAATTAAATAAAACAAAAAATATAATATGAAAATTAAAAGCATAAAATAAAGCAAATGAAAATAATTTAAATTAAATACTTTAATTTAATAAGAACTAAATTCTAAAATAAAATAAATTTAATTTAAATTAATTTCATTACAATTTAATAAATATGAACTAGAAAATTAAACCAAACAAAAAAAATCATATAAATTAAAGATTAAGTAAAATTTAATTGAAAATTATATTAAGGCTTAAAATTAAATTTAACTTAAATTAGAATTAAACTTAACTAAATCAAAATTACTTAAATTAAATTATATTATGTTAAAATTAAATTAAACTGAATTTTAAAAATAATTAAATTTAAAATTAAACTGGATTAAATTTCAATTTAATAAAATTAAATAAGAAATTAAAATTAAACTAAAATAAATTAAAGTAACATAAATTTACATTCATTTAAAATAAACATACATTAAATTAATTAAAAATGAAATGGAATTCGAAATGAAATAGAAAAATAAATTAACATAAAAAGTTAAATTGAGTCAAATTAAGTTAAATTACAATTTAATTAAAAAGTAAATAAGAAATTAAATTAAAATTAAACTAAAATGAATTAAGCCAAAATAAATTTAAATTAAGTTACATTAAAATTAGATTAAACAAAAATTTAGTAATGTTTAAATTTTAAATTAAATGAGTTAAAACGATTTGAATTACAATTTAACAAAAATTAAATAAGAAATTAAATTAAAATTCAACTAAACTACATTAAACTAAAATTAATTTACATTCAATTAAATTTTCATTGAATTAAATTAATTAAAAATTAAAGAGAATTAAAAATAAAATGAAAAATTATATGAGGAAAAATTAATTTGAAAATAAAATAAAATTAAAATTAAATTAAATTACATTAAAATTAGCTTAAACTTAAATTTAGTAGTAATTATATTTAAAATTAAATTTAAAATTAAATTCAATTCAATTCAGTTCAAATATAACACAAATTAAATAAGAAATTAAAAGCAAAGTAATTTAAATCAAAATAAATTTACAATAAATTAAATTAAACTGACATTTAATTAATAAAAAATGAAATGGAATTTGAAATGAAATTAATAATGAAATTTAAAATTAAGTTAAAAATGAAATTAATAGAAAAAGGAATTAACTTCGACACAAACTAAAAAGTAAATCAAATTAAATTAATTTTTTAATAATACATTAAATAACACGAAATTAAGGTGGCTGGAAGGGATTGAATGGCAGGAGTTGAACGGGGGATGCTGCAGCCAGCCCTACCCTGGCTCGTGGTGTGGGGGCCGCTCTCCAGCCGGTAGCCGTGCTCAGAGGAGAAGAAACACCAGGGCACCCCGGGCTCGCTGAGCGGGCTCCAGCAGCAGCCGCGCCGTTCACACAGACTCTGGGGAAAAAAACCCCGATTTTGGTCAGAATTGAGAAAAGAAAACCAGAAAAAGTTCGGGAAGAATTTTTTAAAATATAGAAAAAAAAATTGGAACAATTTAGAAAAAATTTATAAATAGATGGAAAGAGCTTGGAAAGAATTAGAAAAATTTTGGAAGGTATTATTGTGTGTTAAAAAATATATAATTAATTTAATGATAAATTATACTTTATTAATTACATTAATAATTGCATTGTTAATAAATTAATTCAAATTCATCCACATTTACCCATAATATCTCAATAAATGAATCAATTTGCACTATAAAAAGAAATTATTTTTAGGTCTATTTAAAAGAAATCTCCAGTATTCCAAAAATAGAAATAGAAATAAAAATATAAATATTAAAGATAAAAATAATAATAAATTCTATTTGTTTTTATATTTACTGGAAAGAAATAAAGTAGGATATTCTATAAATAAAAATAAAAATAAAAATAAAAATAAATTCTATTTATTTTTATATTAAATTCAAATATATAAAATTGACTACTCCATAAATCAAAATCAATTATGTTTATTTGATTTTTATATTTGTTCAAAATAAATAAAAGAGAATATTTTATAAATAAAAATAGAACTAAAAATCAAATCTCTCCAAATACTCGATTTACACAAATTCTTTAAATACAAACATAATTATGTATTTACATACATTTATCCATATACTTTGATCTTTGAACTTTGATTTGTAAATCATAATTTGTGAATTTTATCTTTAAACTTTGATTTATAAATTTTATCTCTGCTCCTTTTTCTGCTCCTGGCCCCTCCCAGGCAAAGTCCAGGAATTTGTACCCTCTCCCATAAAATTTAATGTTTTTATCAACGAGCCCCACCCACCTTGGCCATGACTTAAACTGCCCTGAAATTCCCCTGGAATTCCCTGGAATTCCCCCAATTCCCAGCCCCCAAAAACCCAATTCCCAGCCCTGGAGCTCCCTAAAATTTCCCCAATTCCCAGCCCCAAGATTCTACAAAATCCCCCACTCCTCAACCCCAAATCCCCCAAATCTCAAACACAAATTTCAAGCCCTAAAATTCCTCCAACCCCCTCAAGTCCCACCCCTAAAATTGCCCAAAATCCCCCAGATTTCCAGCTCTAAATCCCCCAATTCTCACTTCAAAAATTCTCACAATTCCCAGCCCCAAAACTGCCTGAATTTCCCCCAAATCCCACAAATTCCTCTAGTTCCCATCCCCCTAAACCCCCCAATTCCGAGCCCCAAAATTCCTCCAAATTACCAATTCCCAGCCCTAAATTCCTCCAAATTCCCAGCCCCAAAACCCCCTGAAATCCGCCCGGTCCCAGCCCTAAAACTCCCCCAATTCCCAGCCCTAAAATTCCACAAAATCCCACAAATGCCCATCCTAATATTTCCCCAAACCCCTACAATTCCCAGCCCTAAAATCCCCCAATTCCCAGCCCCAAAATTCCCTGAAATCCCCTAAATCCCAGCCCTAAAATTTCCCACAATTCCCCAATAATCAAAGATTAAAATGAGAACAATTAAATATTAAAATTGTGCTTAATAACATTTTAAAGTTATTACAATTATAATTAAATATTAGAATTACATAATTGAAATACTGGAATGACAATTAAGGATTTTTATGCTGTTGATTAATTATTCAAATTATTCTAATCAAACATTACTCTTTTCTTGTTTAAATATTAGAACGGTATCAATTAAGTAATAGAATAACAGTAATTAAAAATTTAACAAGTATTTATTAAATATTAAAATGTCTTGATTAAATACATTTAAATTAATCAAATATTTAAAATATTTTATTTGAATAACAAATGTCAATAAATAATATAATGAAATATTGAAATTATATTAATTAAAAATTAAAATTTTTTTGTCTTCCGTTCTTCATCCAGAAAAAAATGCACAAAATTTGGATTTTTCACACAATTTTTGATGGGAAATTTTGAAATTTTCATCACTCCCTGTTTTAATTTAGGCTCAAATGGGGAAATTGGGGTGGAAAATCAGGAATTTTGGGGATTAAAAGGAGAATTTTGAGTGGAAAATTGGGAGTTTTGGGGAGGAAAAGGGGGGTTTTAGTTTAAAATTTGGGGATTTGGGTTGGAAAGGAGGAATTTTGGGCGGGAATGGGGAATTTTGGGATTGTAAATGGAATTTTGAGTGGAAAATCAGGAATTTTGGGATTGAAAATTCGGGATTTGGAATAGAAAAATGAGGATTTTAGTGGAAAATCAGAATCTGGGGTGGGAAAAGGGGATTCTGAAGTTGAAAATGTAGATTTTGGGGTCGAAAAAGGGTTTTGGGCTGGAATATGGGGAATTTTTGTCCAGACCTTGGTGGCTGCATGGTCAGGGATGCAGTCGAGGCGCTCAGCCAGGGATACATTTGGGCACTGAGGGGAAAAACCTAGAGTGGGAATAAAGAATTAATTAAAAATTAAATTTAAATTGAAAGTGGGACTAGAAAATGAAAATTAAAATAATGAAATTAAAATAATGAAAATAAAAATTAATGAGAAGTAAGAATAATTGAAATTAAAATTAACATGAAGTGAAACTCAACTAAAATTGAGTAACATGAAACAAAAATCAGAATAATTGAAATTCAAATAAATGAGAAATAAATATTAAAATAATAAAAATTATAATTAAATCAAAATAATGAAAATCAAAACAATTAAAATTCAAATAAATTTGAAATAGAAATTAAACTGGCTAAAACTAAGGGGAAACGGAAATAAAAAAATTGAAGTTAAAAAAAAGAGAAATAAAAGTCAAAATAATTTAAAAAACAATAAAATATAGAAATGAAAAATACATTAAAATAAAATTAAACTAAAACTGTAAAAATAAAAATAATAGAAAATAAATTATTAATTTAATTTTAAATTTTAATTTAAAGGAATTAAACTACAGGTGCAAAAATTACAACCAAATTTTAAATAATATAGTAATAAAAATAAAATACACTTATATAAAGATATAAATTATATCAATATATAAAATATTATTATAAAATAACTACTTATTGTAATATTTAGTATTTCTTTTACATTACATTGAAATTTTAACCTAAAAAAAGTTTCAGAAAGCAAACGAACTTTAATTTTTCCCCACTAACTTTTATTCACTCCCTTTCCTCCTGCACCTCCAAATCTTTCCAAAAATCCCCAGCTCTTCCCCCCGGATCCCTGTTTCACCCCAAAATTCCCATTTTTCCCCTCAAATCCCCACTTTTCCCCAAAAAAATCCGTGGCTTTCCCCCCAAAAAGTCCCCTTTTTTCCCAAATCCCCGGTTTTTCCCCCAAAATCGCTCACGGGTTTCCCGGGATTTGGGGTCCCACGTCCCCAGGATGCCCAGCAGCACTCCGGCCACGGCCACTGCCACCAGGAACAGCGCCCCCAGCGCCAGCTCCAGGCGGCTCCACTGCCCCATCTGCCAGGAATTGGAGGAAAAACGGGATTTTGGGAATTCCGTGAATTCCCCAAAATTCCACACCCACTCCTGGTGATGGGGAGAATTTTTCTTGTTGGCGGAATTTGGAGCTGCAATCAGTAATTGGAGTTTTTAGGCGAATAATTCCTGGTTTTGGGGGTCTTGATAATTCTCAAGTTTTAGGGTAATTCAAATTTTCCATCAATAATTCCCATTTTTAGGGTCTTGGTCAATAATTCCCAATTTCCTCAATCAGTAATTCTCATTTTGGTGAAATTCAGATTCTTAATCAATCTTTCCCATTATTAGGGTAATTCAGATTTTCCATCAATAATTTCGATTTTTGAGATCTCGGTCAATAATTTCCATTTGGGGTATGTCGGAGCCCTAACCGATAATTGGCATTTTGGGGGATTAATTCCCATTTTCGGGATTTTGGTCAATAGTTCCCAATTTTTGAATATTTCAGATCCTCAATTAATATTTCCCATTTGGGGGAAAATTCAGATTTTCAATCAACAATTCTCATTTTTTGGGATCATTCAGAGCCTTGATCAAGGGGCATTTTTAGGGGAATAATTCCCATTTTTGGGGTCTCAACAAGTTTTGGGATAATTCTGAGCCTTTATCAAACATTTGCAATTTTTGGCTCTAAATAATTCTCATATTTTTCTGATAATTCAGATTTACATTCCAAAATTCCCATTTTGGGCTCAGTAATTCCCAATTTTTTTTTAGTATTTCATGGTCTTAATCAGTAATGCCCATTTTTGGGCTAATTCAGATCCTCAATCAATAATTCTCAGTTTTGTGGTCTCAATAATTGCCAATTTTTGGGATATTTTTGATTATTAATCAAAATTTCCCTAATTTTGGGTAATTCAGATTCCTGGTCAATATTTCCCATTTTTGGGGTCTCGGTCAATAATTCCCATTTTTGAATATTTCAGATCCTCAATCAATAATTCCAATTTCTGGGGTAATTTGGATTCTCAGCTGATAATTCCCATTTTTTTAGGTAATCCAAGGAATTTTTCCCACCCCAAACCCAGAATTCCCACCTTCCTATGATTTGTGAGATTTTGGGAAAAATCTGGAACCAAAATTGGGAAATTTGAAGTGCAAAACCAGAAAAATTCAATTTTTTAGAAGCCCCAAACCCAGAAATCCCCAGGGATGGAAACTAAACTAAACTAAGATTATAATAAGGAAAAGGAAATGAAAATAAAAAAAGGGAAGGGAAGGTGCGGGAAGGTGCGGAAAGGGGCGGGAAGGGGCGGGAAGGGAAGGGGAGGGAAGGGGAGGGAAGGGAAGGGC